TTTGACATTACCCATGAATAGGTGCCCATTGACAGGACTTTGGATCTGTTCATCCAGCACTCATACATTCAAGGAACTGGTGAATAACTGGGGGTTTGCCCCCAGTGCTAACAAGACTTACAAACAAGCCGTATTTGAAACCCAGCATTAGGGTGTCCTTGCAGGACACGTTTCACATGACACATAAAGTACCCTCTTCTGTGCCTTGGTACCAAGGCTAATCCTAATACAAATGCCAGCCCCCTCTTAGCAATAAGTCTGTTTGGGAATTTTTAYCACTGTGGCTTGCTAATCATGTTAACTCCTCACCCACTGGCAGAGTCTGATTTGCACTGATTTGCAAGGAGCTGCACAGAATGCAGAGAAAAGCCTTGTAAACAAAAACCTCTTCCACCAGGATGCTGTCAGGTCSACACTTAGATGAGCTGGTGCTGTCCCTTTCCAGCAGCATTGTTCTCCTGTCCACAGTTCACACCATGGCAAAGATGAGGCGCTATCTGTGCCGCTGTGCRCAGCCCACTCCACCCGTTTGTATGCAGCCCTAGCCAAGGCCATGCCACRAGACTCCCAGATGAGAGGGATTCCAGCAAACAGTAGTTTTTACTGTTACCTAACAAAATRCAGCAGAGTGGTACCACAGCTTTTACCCATGGAGCAATCATGTGAGCTATTCATCTGGAAAGAATTAACTAGAGCCTCTAGAGACAGAAACAATATTTAGACAGTGAGGAGCCTTTTAAAAGAATTCTCTCCAGCTTCTACTGAAGCATGAGGTAGACATCAGGTAATCAGCCTGTTGCAAGCAACACTCTATTCTGCTGTTGCTTRTCCTTAGTTTTATCTTTTTATTGTTCTGTGACCATGAGGCCTTAAATTGAGGCCCACTAGTTTAAAGACCATTTCACTTGTGGTTTTGTTGTTTTTGTTTTGTTTGGTTGTTTTTGTTGTTTTTTTTGTTTTTTTGTTTTTTTTTTTGTTACAGTCCCTGTTTTATGAGTCTTGCTTGTGATAGATAGAATGTACTTATTTTATCAGTCCATAATACCACATTCAACAGTGTAAGAAAGTTCCATGCCCTAGAAAATCTTCCTGTATAGATATATTAAGATAATAAGACCAGGAAGTTTCCCTAATGATATCTATTGCTGAAAAACATTCACTTCTTTTGGCATTTGATAAAGAACAAGTTCAGATTTCCTCTGGTTTTTATTTTTCAGTGCAATCTGTTGAGGATTAAGATTGTCATCAACATTCTAGACCAGGTCTTTCAGCCACTACTTATCACACTAATGTTCTCCATGTTTTTCACAGCTTGTATTTTCATTAAATCTGAATGGGCTACTCATGCCCTGAAAGCCTGACATACTTTCATCATAGCTGGATCTGGTCTGTTGTTGTTACTTAATTCTCTTCCAACTACTGTGATTTTCCCCTCTGCATTCTTACCCTAGCCAAATGCAAGCCAGGCTTATCAGGGTGGAGCACAGCTGCTTGCTTCAGGAATGCTTCAGAGCTAGTTGAGTATGGCCAGAAAGTCAGCACAGGAGACTTTCAGTGCTAAAAGGTGCAGCATTTATAATCAAGACCTGGCATTTGCAAGGTGACTGTGGCTTCATCAGGCAGGCAGTCTGCTAGCTGAAATGAGGTGCTCCTGTACAACCCGAGCCTGAGGTGGTGAGATCCCCCATTAGACTCTGGGATTTTACTGGTTATCTCTTGACTTCTATGTTCGTGGGCTGTTCCTCTTCCTCACAAGGTGACAGTGAGGGCTGCTTCACATCTCTCCCATAAGCGAGTGACTCTTCCACCAGAAAAACTGGAACTTCAGAGAGCTTCTCCTTCTGTTTCAGAAAAATAAAAAATTACAATGTAGTTTCCTCAATAGTCTAATTTCTGCATAGCAGGGCTCAGCACAGGCCCCGGACTTTTTCTGTTACTACTGAAAGTGTACACAAATAAAAATAATTTCACATTCATAATTTAAAATATTCTTCTCTCAAAAACTCATCACCTGTTAGTTAAGTGATTAAAAAGGCAGAGAGACTACAGAATGCGACACACCTGATAAAGGAGTCCAAGTTCCTGACTGAAGCTCTAAGGTGCCYGGCCTCCGCTGGCAACAACACAGCTCTTTCACAGACCAGCCCAGACCTGAGAATGTTCTTTGGACCTTTACTACTTGGACCCTTTGCAATCTGCTGCCACCTATCTCAGTGCCACCTCCCTGAGTCCAAGAGCTCTGCCAACAGCAGGGCTTTGCCTGGCACCTAAGCCACAGCCAGCCCTGGGGGGTCACCAGGAGCCCACACCAGGAGCTGCCCCCAGGTTTTCTTTCATTCAGTTCTGATGAACTCTCCAGTTCTTGTGCTTCACCAGCTGACACCACAGACATTTTTGTCAGTGCTCTGCACTATGTCCAGGGCCTGGTTCAGCCTCAAGGACAGAGCTGCAGCTGCCTTTCTTGTTGATTTTAGCTGCTCTGTCCCCAGATATGTGACACTGAGGGTTCTTTCCATACTTGCTCTCCCCTCCTACACACACAAAGGGTGCCTAAAACATACACAAGCGGTTACAACAAAGCAAATAAGGGCAGAGGCAGTGAGCCAAACTTTGTTTACCCTGAAGATAAGGCAGCAAAGTGTAACTGCACGGCACTGTAAGAAGTCCCTCCCTGTAAGTCAATACACTGAAATTCAGATAATATAAGAAAGAGTTTTAAAGTAATGTTACCTTAAAAATAATGACATGTTACAGATGTTACATCACCCAAGACTTCTATACAAACTCAGAGAATATTTGTTTTGGTCAAAAGATGTTCCTTTTTTTTTTTTTTTTCCTGCAGACCCCAGAATTTGACCAAGAAGAAAATATATTTTTACTGATCTCACATGACATGGCTCAGTTAGATCACATCATAATGGATGTAATGCTGCTTTAAAGCAGTAAGAGAGGTGACCAGGAGAAGTATAGCTACTTGCTTTGTATTTGTTGACAAATAATAGATCCTTCTCCTACAGAGTGGGCCCRGGTCTGGTTCCAACCTTTGCAGTCAGATTCTGACTTTGTCTCCCACATCTCCAGCAGTTTGCAAGTTATATACTTGCAAATATAACCTCCCTTTACTAGAAATTGTTATCTTCCCACCATTAGAAACCAGCTCTGCTGGAACACAGGGCTGAAAATACAATTCCTAAGCAGCAAGAATTGAAGACACTGAATATTTCCACATGGGGACAGCAAAAGTTACTGCAGGTTTCTTGACAGTATTGGCTTTGTTCCTAAACACATCTTATTATCTACCAAGGTTCACACAGTTGTCTCATATAACTGAGCAAACTATACAGTCATATATTTGCTATTTACAAGCTTGTCTAAGATGTTCATTAATCTGCACAAGGTGAGGTCATAACTCACCTCTTATTTCCAGATTTTTGTTGCATTTCCTGAAAAGCTGAAGACAGATGGAGGTTCATAAATACGCACAGAACTATAATGGCTGAGCTTTAGTAAATGGCTCAAGACATTTTGAACTGGAGAAAAAGATATTATTTTCTCACACAAACTCAAAATAAAAATGAACATTTCCCCACTGAAAAACAATCCTCTTTCCATACAAATATTTTTTCCTCACTAATAATCTCAAGGAAGTAGACTTAAAAATGGAAAAAAAAATAACAGACTTTATGTATGCAAGGAAACATATTTACCTAAAGTGCTTCTCAAAGATTTCAGGGATGTGAGTGACCACTGAAGAATGTTTCAGAGCCATTTCAAGACTGGGGCAAGCACCAGATCACATCCAGCTGTTTCCAAGAAACTTAATGGCAGGAATTGGGATCACAGCCATTCCAGCAGTAATTTATTTACTATAACTTGCAATAAATGAATAATTAAGTTTTGTAAATCTCAGCAACTGTGGACAGTTTAGACACATCCAAGGTAGAGAAATGAGGCATATTGGAGTGTACCACATATGTGAGGGACACATGGTGACAAGGCATTTGCAGCTTACAGGAAATGTCACATGCCACATTATCTTCTCTGCCTGGCAATATCCCCAGCRCATCATTCTGAATACCTGCTGGCCCCAGCACACCTTGGTGGTTTGCTTCCCCCATTACATCTATCCTAAGGCCAGTCTCACACGGAGCTCTCAAGTCACGGATCCTAACCGGCTGTACTGGTGATAAAGACACARCTCCATTGCTGGTAATATTCCATGTGTCCAAACGACCAGGAAGGCTCACGACAGCCGGGTTGTATCAGGAATAGTGTGGCCAGCAGGACCAGGGCAGCGATTGTCCCCCTGTGCTGGGCACTGGTGAGGCCACAGCTGAAGTGCTGTGTCCCGTTCTGGGCCCCTCACTGCATCAAAGACATTGAGATGTTGGAGCATGTCCAGAGAAGGGCAATAGAACTGGGGAAGTGTTTGGAACACAAGTCCTGTGAGGAGCAGCTGACGGAGCTGGTGTTGTTTAGCCAGCAGAAAAGGAGGGTCCTGTCACTCTCCACAATCCCTGAGAGGAGGCTGTAGCCACGCCGGGCTCGGCATCTTCACCCGGGCAAAGTGACAGGACACGAGGACATAGTTATAACCCGTGCCAGGGGACGTTCAGGTTGGACATGAGGAGGAATTTCTTCACAGAAAGGGTGATTAGGCRTTGGAATGAGCTGCCCAGGGAGATGGTGGAGTCACCATCCCTGGAGGCGTTTAAGGGAGACCGGACACGGCATTGAGGAGGCACTGAGCGCCATGGCGCGGCTGACATGGGAGTGTTCGGTCACAGGTTRGACTCGMTTATCTCGGAGGGCTTTTCCAACCTAACTGATTCTGGGACCACCCCCGGCACACCCCCAGACTTCACGACTCCCTGCCCCRGGCAGGCGACGCCCAGGGCCGAGCCCGGCGGAGAGAGGAGAGAGCAGAGAGGAGCAGAGAGGAGGAGCGAGCGCGTCCCTCGCTGGCGGCGCCGCGGGCGGAGTGCTCTGAGGGAGGGGCGGGGCCGYCGCCTCCCCGCCCGCCCGCCCGCCGCCATTTTGGCTGGTTCGCGTCGCTTCCGCCGCTGGAAGTAAACAGAGAGCGAGGCAGGGAAGGAGGGAAGCGGCGACGCGGGCGGGACGGGACGGACCGGACGGCCGGGGGAAGAAGCGGCGGCCCTGGGGTTGACTTCGGYGGAGAGAGCTGATGTGGCCGGAGCGGAGGCGCCAGCGCGGCCCGAGCCCCGGTTAATAGGAAGCGCAGCAGGGAGCCGCCAGGTGACGGGGCGAGAAGGGGCGGGCGGCGGCGCAGCCCTCAGGGTCCCAGGCCCCGGGAGCGGCGGGGGCGGYGGAGCTCGGGGCCTGCGGGGCTGGCGGAGCCCTGCGTTCCGAGTCGGGGCTGGGCCGGAAGGAGCCGACCCTGAGGGGAACCTTCTTCGGGAGTAGCGGGCGGTCCCTGAATCTTAGTCYTTCGATTTTGGGGGTCGCTGCCTCGCAGCTTTCCCGTGATAGCGATAATAAATCGTGAAGCCCGCTCTGTGTCCTGATAACGGAACAGGTTGGTTGCGGCAGGGAGGGGTTGGGTTCGTGCTCGGGTCGCTCCCTGTTTTTGCCCGTGCTCCGCTTTAGCGCATTCCTGGTGTTCCTAGACCAGCCTTGGTGCGGGGGTGAGGCACAGCGAGCAGGTTCCTGGGTAAGCGTTATCAGTACGGTGCAAACAGCTCTGCACAGTGGTTTGTTTTGTTTGGTTTTGGTTGTGTGTTGGTTTTTTTCTTTTTTTTTTTTTTTTTTTTTTTTTTTTTTTTTTTTTTTTTAACTGCCGTTGTGTTCTGGCTGCACCTTACTCGGTAATAAAAACAATGTTAAGCACGTGCTTTGCTCCTCCTCCTCGGTGACTGAACTGTGTGATTAGGGTTGGACATGACTATTGCAAACAAGATAGCGTGGGTTGCGCCCAGGTGCGGAGTTCAGATACAAGTCGTTRTAATAGGTGGAGAAATTAACTTGGAAAATCGTAAGTAGTCAGGCACCCGGCTTTCAGCCATTCTCTCTGCATCGGTAGAGTTGGTCTTTGTTGTCTTTTTTTTTTTTTTTGCCTTTCTGCTAAGATCTTCGCTTCTAAAGCAAAGTTGATTTTAGCAGCAGTTTGAAAAACATCGATACATGTGTGCCTGAGTATGCCTGAGAGAGTTGAAAGCGAGATTGATGGTTCATGCATTGCTAAGAARTGATAAGTAATCATTCCTTGAAAAATAGGTTTTACTCATACGGTAATTTGCTACAAAGGAATTTTGTGTWCGTGTCTTCCTTGTTGAAAAGTTGGCCTTGAATTTCAAATGGTCAAATCTTTAAATTATTGGATCCATAAAGCAAAGTGAACGGAACTCCCAGTATCTTTCCAGATGGCTTTACAAACTTCTGCAGGCAAATATGTATTCTTTAAATTTTATATTTGTTTTATTGTTAGTCATGTAAAGAGGTTGAAAGCAGTTACATTAAAAAAAAAAAAAACCAAAATTGTTCTGATACTTTAAGTTTGGCAAAACGAGATGCCAAAAACTAGATGAACAAATTGTTTAGAAAGTAGATGACAAAACAGTCATTTCATTCTTAAAATCATATTTTTTAGTCTTGAGCTTAAGCACTTTTTTCCTGTTTGGAAAAAGTTTGCCAAGGAAATACTTTTGAAATGTTGTACTTAATCTCTTTTTAATTACAAGAGCATCCAAGATGTTGGTAATAAAGTTGTCTGGAAATCTTACTTTTTCCCCATCCCTTGCTGTAAGTCATAGCATTTAGAACATGTAACATCTAATTTCCTTGGAAGAAGAAATCATGATCAATATACCTGTAGTGATGGCTGTGTGGTCTCTTTTTTTTTTTAAATTCGCTGTTTATAAAAATGTGACAGTATCCCACAGCTTCCAAGAGACGATTTTGGTCTGTAACCAGCATACGTTAACTACTTACAGCTCATCACAGTTAACTCAGAGGTGCAGATTGGGAGACTGATGACCTGGTTCGCTTCTGTTGGCACATCACAGAGGCTTTTTTCCAGTTGAAAAATTAATACGGTTTTTGTCAGTGGCAGCTCCCTCCTGATCTTCTCTGRAAGTGAGACAAAAAAGACAGAAAAAAAACCCCAAACCCTACCTTAATGCAGTGATAGAAGTAGCCTATAAAGCTGGAACATTTATGCAGGTTTACTACCTGATTAGCAAAACATAAGACAAGATCTCGGAATAGGAGAGCCAAGTCTAAGAGTRCCTTGTGTAGCTTTTTACAGATGGCTTTGGAAAGACTTAGACATCAAACAGGCAAGCCTGAATTTGGCAAGTGAATGGCTTGCCTGTGGTGAAAGCTTGTTGTAACCTAGTTATTTGGAATATCTGTTTAGCCTAAAGTTTAAGCACACTTTGCATTTCAGACTAACTTATTATAAATASTGTTCTAATACTATGCTGAGTTGTTATCTGAAACAGAAACATGACAGGCTTGCAGTGGATTTGCCAATTAATTCTTGATTAATTTTAAGTTGAATTCCATTTTCATGATTGCAAAATCCAATTCCTTTATATTTTTGTTAGTTGCAGATGGTTCTGAGTCRCTGTTCAGTTTTCTTGCTTTTATTCACTGGTGAAGTGGCTCAGCAACAGAACTCTGTCTCTGGCAAAAAGCTTCTTCCAGCACAGGAATTGTGTTTTGCATAGTCTCGTAGTCGTGAACTGAATCACGGAAAATAGCTCTCAGWAAGCAAGTAGAGACTTTTTCCCAGTACTGTTTTCATCCTTTGCTTGTCCAAGTGCTGCTGGGAGTAAAAGTTGGGAGTTGAAAAAAGTGAGGAGACAAATTTTGTTCATCAGTCTTTGATGACCGTATGTTCAGGTTTGTTTGCATCATCTTATGAGTGGCTTTAGACTTTAGGTGATGATAGCTTGCTTCTGTCATGTGAGCAGCTAGGATTAAAGTATTTTTAAGATAGGTAGAGAGGTGCTGCCTTTGAGAAAATAATCTGTGATGCATTGGATTATAAGCAGTGTAAGTTTTCACTTGCATTTTGTTTTAAGAGGTGCTTCCAACATTAGTTGCAGTACATAGCAGGGAAACTTAACTTKCCAGATCCTAGAAGGACTGGGCATATGGTAATCTTAGACATGTAATTGTACTTGAATGTTAAACCAGAATAATTTCACTGTGTATCAAGTCCTTATTTATCTTCTAGAAATCATGGAGGCTGGAGGTCCTTTGTGTGTCAGGCCCACCCCACCCCACCCCACCCCTGGATTCTTTCAGTGCTTTAGTATTGAGTGTATCGTAGTTTAGTATGATGTATCACAGCCCTTTAGGACATGGTGTGCATCACACTGAGGCTTTTAAAAATAAATTTTCAGATGCCAAGTTCACTGTAGGATGGCATGTACAAGAAAACAYGTTTGGATCAAAGCCCGATGGTAGTTTAATTTCAGATGTAGGTAATGGTTAGGGGTTTTTCCTCTCTAATAATGTAATATATGGTAGAATTGTTTAAGTGATGTCATTGTGAAAAAACGGTGCTGCAACCTTTTGCCTCAGGCGTGCTGAATTTACTATAATTTTGAAGAAAGTTTTCTGGCCCTTCTGTGGGGTGGGTTTTTTTTGGTGTTGGTTTTTTTTTTGTTGTTTTTGGGTTTATTTTTTGTTTGTTTGTTTTTTGTTTGGTTTTTTTTGTGAGTTGAAGCTTCCAGACTGTTACTGGAAATCTTCCGTAATCCCTATTTAGTAGCTGGAAAAAGGAAAACACACCAATGGACTTGATGAAATACATTTTTGAGGATACTGATTTAAACCAGATTCCTATTGAAGCAGCATTTTAAGTAAATAAATTAAAAAATAAAATACTCTTCCTTTCTGAGAAAAAAATTATTTGGTCTGATACATCATCTGCAATATGGAGTGCCTCAAGCATGCATACAGTAATTATTTACTTCCTTGCATGATTTTCATCTCCACAGTTTCAACTGTTGTTCCTTATAAAGAAGACTGGGGCAGCAGTATGGATGTTGTTTCAAAAAATTGTTTAGAACACTGTTCTACTTTTCATTAGTAGAACTGTAGAGTGATAATCAGCAACACAGTAAAACAAATTAGGTTCAAAGTGTTCTCAAACACACAAATGAAACACYGAAAGGAGAGTGACTGTTATAAATGGGTTGGCACTGTTAATGATTAAAAAAGTAATATTAAAGAGATGAGTTTACATGATAATGTTATTTCTGGACTGYGACTGGTTTAATTGTTAATTGGGTTTTTTTCTTTATATATGGGAGGAGAAAAACTCTTGTCAAAGCATTGTTTGAGAAAATACCTTTTGTGACCTCCACCATTTTCTAATAATATTGTTCTCAGCTCTATAATGTTTACAAAATAAATAGATTTATTTTTTGTATTGGTTCTGTAGGATGAAACGAGGAAGGAAAACTAATGAGGCCAACAGCAGTTCATCTGAAGAAACAACTGAGAAGGAATCCAAGAGACACAAGGTTGTAGAGAAGAAAACCATAGTTGTGCAGAGTCCTGACTGGGCAAACCTTCTCCAAGACATTATCCTGCAGGTGTTTCAGTACTTGCCCCTTCTGGATCGTGCTCATGCATCCCAGGTCTGCAGGAGCTGGAACCAGGTGTTTCAYATGCCTGATCTCTGGAGGTGCTTTGAGTTTGAACTGAATCAACCAGCTACATCTAACTTGAGGACTACCCATCCCGAACTGATCAAGCAAATAATAAAGAGGCATTCCAATCACCTGCAGTATGTGAGCTTCAAGGTACTGTATTTTATAGGCTTTTTAAAAGTAATTTATTCTAAAAGAAATAGGGCAGCTGTCAGTGTGATAAGTGGCCTTGTTTTCAGGTTTGGTATACTGAAAAAAATGGGTTCTTTAAATGGATATGTAGACATGGAGATTACTTCCCAATTAATTTGTTCTGATGTATTTTCAGGACCATATCTTTTCGTTGCCTTATTTCTGTTAGATGGGAATCTGTTTGATGGTGTGGTTTGTTTGGTTTTTTTTTGTTTTGTTTTTATGGGTCCTTTGTTTATCGGGTTTTTTTTGACGGGTTTTTTGGTTTGATTATTTTTTTGGTTTTTCGGGGGGGTTCTTTGTTTGGTTTGGTTTTTTATTTTGTTTGTTTTTTTTTTATTTTTGGTAGCAGTTTAGCTGCTTAAAATTCTGATTCATTGAGTAGACAGAAATAATTCAGTTCTGATACAACTGCATGTGTGGGTTCCTGCCTCAGAATTAAGTTTCATCAGGATGCATAAGTTGATCATTTCCCCATTTCATATCCTGTAGGGCCTTGGCTCTAATATTCGTGGTTAGAAATCATCTAATGCACAGAGAGTGACTACAGTACTACTAGTCAGCAACTGCCAGTTTTAATATTAAATTGGATGTGATTGTCTCTACTCAGCACAACTGTGTTTCGGGTGACTGCGGAAGTACATGGGATTTGCATAGGATTGTTCCTGCCTGAGAAATACAGTTTGGGAGAATTGGTTCTTTTAACACTGTGGAATTATTTTCAGCAGATGAAAACCTTTAATGTTGGCTTACGTGTTAGTGTGTTTTGGAAGGTTGCTGTGAATCTCTTGGCTGCATACGCATTAGGTATGTGAGAAATTTGGAAAGGAAATTACTTCTGCAGCAAGTTCAGGGTACTTGTTTCTGAGATCAGGCAGTTCTAATGCTGTAATCATCAGCATATGAGTAGTTGAGTCACCTCTGCCGGATCACATGTATTGCTGCTGCTTGTTTGGAATAGCAGATACAAACTGTTACCTCAAGGTTTGCAGGGCTTTTATCAATGTCCAAATATAGGAAACTTAAGGCTGTAGTGGAATGGTCTTCTAATGTCTTACCTCCTGTCTGTGTTGCTTTACACTAAGTGATTTTGAAGAATTTTGGGTGCCCTTGGCTTGTAGAGTGATCCTTCATTTTTTGAATGTGTTGCTTCAGCTGTCCTTCAGTGCTGCAGAATACACGATCACTGAAGGAAGTAGGTGAAACACTCACCATTCCTCTGTAAAGGCTGAAAACATGAGGGTTATTTTTTGTAGGCAAGGAAAGATGGGATTGTTGAAAAGCAAGGTTTTTCAGTTTGTGTTTGAGCAGAAAATGAACATTCGTTGGACTTTATTGCTGCCAAGTTAGCGTGGCATATGGCAGAGTTAAATTTGATCCTGTTACCAAGTTTTATACTGCTCTGTAGGTTTGCAAAGCTGTCATGACTGTTGTATAGAAGGGCTTATTTGGAAAGCGCACCTGAGTGTCAGGGAAGTCCRTTGGAGACACAAGAAGTGATTTGGGTGGATAACAAGCTGACTAATGAAAGTTTTAGGTGTTGTGTTGATTTGATTTTTTGTCTTCTGATGTTTATTTTTCTCCAGAGTATCCACTGCAGATTTGTTGTGATTTTAACACTGAAGGGCCAGTCACGCAGGTTCATGTGATAATGCACTTAGCCCTCCAGCAGCTCAATTTTATGAACTGAACCACTGTAAAAACAGGCAGCTTTTGCACATAGTAAAGGATTTATAGAATTCTTGCATTTTAGTAAGGAAGWATATAAAGAGGAATTGGGATAGGCTCTGGACCCTCCACTTGCTTATTATTTGATGTGGACTGAATATCTTGGAAAAAAACTGTTTAGCTGACCCCTTGCTATGGTGTGTTTAGTAAATTTATAGTAAATTATCTTGGATTTTTGGTGTGTACTTTTTTGGGGGAAAAGAATAATAGTGATGGTGTTTCGTAGTGGGATTTGACTTCCCATTTCAGAAGATWAAGTGAAAAAAAAAAGAGTATGTTTGCAGTACTTTCTGAACGTGAAATTCATTTTGTTTTAAGGTGGACAGTAGCAAGGAATCTGCAGAAGCAGCTTGTGATATTTTATCACAGCTTGTGAATTGCTCTCTGAAAACACTGGGGCTAATTTCAACTGCCCGGCCAAGCTTCATGGATTTACCAAAGGTATTTTAATATGTATATATTCTATTGCAAAGTATTGCAGTGTTTCATACAGTAYTTCTATAACTTTATGAGAAGTTCTATCATAGGAATATGAATCTGTGTTTAAGAAAAGTTTATTAGTGGTCTGGTCTCTAATAAAGGGAGATATCCATCACAGTATCTCAAGCTCCATTCAGTCTCTGAATCATGTGAAAACGTAGGCCTGACCTTGTTCTTTCAAGTCCKACTGTCTGTTGACCTCAATGTAGTGCTGAGCAGAATGGTGCAAGTTAAGAGGCTAGACAGTTCAGATCTGTACAATTGTGTTGTGGGGGATGTTTAGGAGACAATTACAATCAAATGAGTGGTAAAGTTTTATCCATGTGGACTTGCCATAGGGCTTACACGATCAATGATCTCTTTTCAGAAAGAAATAGGATCATGATTTTCAGGACTTGATGTCATKCAGTCAAGCATCGGTGTCCTTGGTGAAGTGCACTCTGTTTCTGAAATTTTCAGTCAAGATTTTTACCTTGCTTTTTTACCAAAAATCAGGTCTTGTTGAAAGGCATTTAATCTAGAAGACAACAAATCTCTTATATGTGCTTCTAAAGAAGCATTCTTGCTAGTGAGGTGGAAGTGTACCAACTGCTAAGGAGTAGGGGAGAGGTTGTGAGGGGCCAGATACAAATAGTGTATTAGCTAGACCTTAGTGATGTCATTGCTGGTGATGGCAGTAAGGACAAGGAGGAAATAGAAACAGCCTCAGGAAAGGAAATAGGCTACAGGTAAGGTTAGCTACAGAAGGATTATCAGTTATTATCCTTGGCAGTGGTCACTGCCACATCATGTAACTCTCTKGAATATGTATTTTTAATCCTTAGTTTTCAAAGAGGCTTTTCAGATAATTGAACTAGTTTTGCTGCTTTTTTTCCTTTTTTGATGTTTTTTGAGGTGTGATGATAAGAAAACCTGAATGGAGTGTAAAAGAATCCATAGTCTCAGTCTGTTAGAGCTGAAAGGACAAACTTTTTTTTCTTACTGTTTCTTTATTAATCTGAATGCTGCTTTAGCTCTCTTAGTTTTCACAGGAGGGCTATGTTAGGGTCCTATTCGTCTAGCTGAGTAATCTGAGTAATTATTTGTAATTGTTCATGCCATGTTCTTACTCAGCTTTAAGGCTTACAAAGCACAGGCTTCCTTTATTTGTTCTCAGTAGATACGCACTTGGCCTTAAAAAATAAATTCAAAGTAAGACAAAATTAGCTCTAAGCATAATTTGCCTTTTGATGTTTACCACTTCAATAATATTGTCACTGGCATAAGGGACCACTAGTGAAACTAAAGAATTTAATTTGGCTATGACTGAATTCTTGTGGAAAGCTGTTAGTGACAGGTCCATTAGATGAGAAGCAGACAAAGATAAATTAATTTGGAAAATGGTTAATACTTTGCTGTGGTTTTGGACTTTTTTTGTGTGGTTGTTTTGTTTTTTTTTCCAGACTGTATAGGAAGTCTACTTGGCATTATCTTCATCACTGCTCTTCTGTTCTCAAATACAAATAATTGCCACATGTCAGGTTAACTCACCTTTAGCATTGTATTGCCTGTCTTTTCACTAAGTACATTCTACATGAGTAGAAGCTTTTAAAGAATAGTATTACAGGCTACATATGTGCCAATACTGAAAACACCAGTTCTTACCTGTGGGATACTGCCTATTTTCCACTGGCTCTTCAAACTAGAAGTTTCAAGTTACCTGCTTTTATAAGTGTGGTTAACTTCCTTTGTGCCTCTATTTAACAGCCTTCTTTTTCTAAACATAGAATAAAAACACAGTACTGACACTGTCATAATACAGAGTGGAAATAATAGTAAAGCATCTTTTCTTCTGGACATAACATACATAATCAGCATATTGTCAGGACAGTTGGAGTGGTCCCTAAAGCCAAAGTATGTAAAGATTCTGAGTTGAACTTCCTGTTCCCATTTGCATGAACTGACTTTGAGAGTTTGCGTTAAGGTGAGAGCAGCACATCCTATTCTAAATCTAATTGTGTGAGTTTTATCAAAAACTATAAAYACCTTGCCTAAGAATGAAAAAGTATAGTTGGCAGGCCATCTCTCATACAACTGTATTCAGGATATGTGCCTGTGGCTGAGAGTGAAACAGGATTGAAATCAAAGTAGCAGGTCAGTTTTTTACAATACTTAGTGTTGTGCRTCGAKAAAAGACTTTTAAAAAGTCTTGTATTTGGTCATGTAAGAGATCATGAAGATGCACTAATTATTCACTTCATACCACCAGTGGTTTCTACAAGCATTGCTATATCTGCTCCTTAGTTTCTGTTTCTCCAGTTCAGTTTCCCTGGGCTCTGTCTTTACTGGTAAGTTTCAGTGGTTCTGGTAAAAATGCTGAGCACTGGCCCTACCTTATCTATGCTGCTTAATCAGTAATTAATTGATCTCCTGCCATTTGTGTCTGCTTGGACCTTTCCGTTTAGCTTTCCAAGAAATTCATCCAAACTCTAAATACTCTTGTGTGGGTGGTAGGCAGGCAGTGCAATCATTTGGCTTTGGATACAACCACTCCTGATTGTGTTTGCATCTCACCAATGCAGCGCAACTTGCAGTGCAGGAATTCCTCTCCTAGAAGATGCTTCTTTTAGAGTGTTACTTACCTCATCTGTTCAAAGGACATTAAAAAAATCCTCAAAACTAGGGCTGCTAGGCTTTCTCTTTGCTTATGGTCTTTCTGTAGATTTAAATTTGTGTAGTGGATTGTCCAGGGTCAGGTTCTTGATTAGCATCTGATATTACTCATTCTGATTTGCCCAACTAATAAACTGATAGCAAAAAATTATTACACTTCCTCTACTAAAAAAACAGTTTTAGTATTATTTTTTAATTATGCTATATCAAAACAATGCTTTTTCAGCAAATTGCTGTCAAGAAGTAAAAACTAGGACTATTAGGTACAGTGTAAAACGATTGAGATTTTTACTTCAGATACTATGCTTTCATTTCAACTTCCTTTTATTTTTCAGTCTCACTTTATTTCTGCACTGACAGTGGTGTTTGTGAACTCCAAATCCCTCTCTTCACTTAAGATTGATGACACACCAGTAGATGATCCATCTCTCAAGGTCCTGGTGGCAAACAACAGCGACACACTCAAACTGTTGAAAATGAGTAGTTGTCCTCATGTTTCTCCAGCTGGTAAGCTACTGTGATTTTGGGGTTAGTTTGTCTGGGATTTGTTGGTTGTTGGTTTGGATTTTTTAATGCATGCATTAAATTCTGTCTGAAACCAGTACCCCTCTGAAAAAAACAGGGGTGGGGTAGGAGGGAAGACGAGTTTGGTATTACCAACAACTATCACTGAATAAAGCATTTTCAACTAGTGGTCAGTCCATCCTTCCACAGAGTGACTACTGTGCTAATAATAAAAGAGTGCATGTCTGTTGTGGGCAAATAGTTAATCTCATGTGGACCCTAAAAAGTAAATGTTGACTAGATAGTGCACTATTTRTGCAATGACTAAGTATTCCAATACAATTAAGCTTTTTTGGAACACGAGTTTCTTTTCCACATTTTATTATGGGTGGATTGTGAATGTTACCATGTCATGGATTATGAAGATGCTGATTTAGTTGTTCTGAAAGAAAGTTGTTGCTGGACAATAATTGCAGACAGCATCAAAATGGGGAGATGAGACTGAGCTGTACAAGACATCTACTATCACCAAGTGTGCTTCACTAACATTTTTAAATGTGCAAGAATGAAGCCAGCTCCGTATAAGAATGAAATCATTCAAGATRGTTAAAGTTCACAGAATTCACATTTTTGGTAGACTTATGCACAGCAAGTTTGAAATTTATTCACAGCCCATCAGCTTAACACTTAGAGTTTTTCACTAAGAAATGGAAGAGGAGTTGTAAATGAAATGCTGGCAATTTAGTATAATTCCTCTTCTGAGGATGAGTAGAAACTGTAGAAACCATAACACTGTAACTTTCTTCATGCATATATATTGCATCTGTAAATGCTAGGTATATTATCTGTCAAATTCACCAGCATAATTACTAAAAGGGGAAGGCAGTAGTGTAGCAGAGGGCATGTCGTTGTAGACTTCAGAGAAAATGCCAAATTTAATACCTTTTGCAAAGCCTTGTGTCTGGTTTTGTGTAAAGAAGTCCTGAAAATGTAGGATGGATGTTTTGCAGAGGACTGGTTCAGCAAAGTGTTCATGGGTGTATTAACTGGAATGTTGCTTCATCCAAAGCTTTGTAATCATAGATGGGGGTTGTTTAAATTGGCTTGAGTGCCTGGCTTTTCCAACTTAAAATTGGTTTTGAAAATCCTTGTGTCTGAGATGTACAAGAGCTGTAACATGTCAGTCAAGAGGAAAAGGCTTTCCTCTTCGCAGTAATTTGTAGCTAGGCAGAGGGAATCATTTCTTTGGACTTCAGTCAAAGAGTAACCTGTCAGTTTTAGCAGACTTTGCTGCTTTGTGGATAATCCTTGCTAGAATGCTTTATTGGAACATCATACACTTGATAATTTGGGAGGAGGCATGGGTGTGTTTTGATTGATGTATCTTGCATGGTTTTAAATTGAAGGAACAATGGGTAAGAAATGGTCATGCCTGTTTAAGGARCACAATTGTTATTGTCCTTTATGGAGTGGAGATGAATAGATTGGGATAAGGCACATTAGTAACAAAACCAGGGAGTGCTAAGCAAACAGCAGGAGAGTTTAAYTGCTTAATTCAGGTATGGGTGTGCCTTAAGATGGAGAAAAAAGTAGATGCATTGGATTTGCATGACAATGTTTTGTGCGGCAGTGAGGRGGCTACAGGAGTGGCTTCTGTGAAAACTGCCAGAAGCTTCCCCATGTCCAACAGAGCTAAGGCTGAGCGCATCAGTGACAGTGGTAGTGCCTCCAGAATAACACATTTAAGAAGGGGAAAAGGTACTGCAGGAGAGCAATTGCAGCTGGAGAGATAAGAAGGAGAACATCTGAGAGAAGCAGYTCTGCAGACACTGAGGTAAAAAGAGGGGCAGGAGTTGCTCCAGGTGCTGGAGCTGTGATTCCCCTGCAGCCTGTGGTGCAGACCATGGTGAGGCAGCTGTGCCCCTGCAGCCCTTGGGAGGGCCACGCTGGAGCAGAGATCCACCTGCAGCCTGTGGAGGACCTCATGCTGGAATAGGTGGTTGCCTGAAGGAGGCTGTGACCCTGTGGGAAGACCATGCTGGAAGAGTCTCTTGGAAGCACCTGTTGAGAGAGTAGGCCACTCTGGAGCAGGTTTGATGGCAGGAATTGACCCTGTGGGGGACACCAGACTCTGTTACTGAAGGACTTCAGGCATCCCATGCTGGAGCAGTTTGTGATGAACTGCAGTCTGGGAAGGACTGCCATTGGAGAARTTTGTGGGAAACTGTTCCCATGCAAGGGACCCCATGCTAGAGCTGGGGAAGAGTGAGGGTCTCCTCCTGAGAAGGAAGGAGTGGTAGAAGCAATGTCTGAAGGGCTGACTGCAGCCCCCATTCCCTGTCCCCCTGTGCTGSTGGGAGGGGAGGAGGTAGAGCAAATCATGAGAAGGTTAAGCCTGGGAAGAAGGAAGGAGTGAGAGGAAGGTGTGTKAAGTTTCAGTTTTATTTCTCATTACCCTTCCCTGATTTAATTGATAATAAACTGATTTCCCCAGGTTGAATCTGTTTTACCCATGATGGTAATTGGTGAGTGATCTCTCCCTGTCCCCCTTATCTCCACTCTTGAGTTTTTAATTTTATTCTCTCTCCCCTGCCCAGCTGAAGAAGGGAGTGATTGCGCAGCTTTGGTGGGCACCTGGTGTCCAGGCAGGGACAACCCACCACCAAGTAGAACAAAAGAAAGAAGCTGGTGTGTGGGTAGTTGGCTTCAAGAGCAGGCAGGCTGCAAAAATGAGACTCTGTGTGAAAATGTGACCTGGATTATTTTGTAATGGGAATATTATAATTAGCAGGCTGTTGTAAATGTGGAAAAATTTCAGTGAACCAAATGGGCTGTGAGTTGCAAAACTAATTACTTATAGATACCGTTAAAATGTCTTCAAATTGGAGGAGGGGGAAATGTTCATTACCAGGTCAGTTCTCAAGAAATTTGTTAGTGAAGGGCAGAAAAGAGTAATGAAAGTAGTGCATGAGAGACTCCACTGCTGCAGGGATAAAGGAAAAAGATTGATATCAAACAGTGAATTGCTCTAAATTACTGTACAAAGATCAAGAGGCATGTTTGAGCTTGGGCTGGAGAAACAAAGGCAGTGATGTATTTCTGATCTTTGTGAGCTTATCTGAAGTTTCTTCTGTTTGCTGTTTCCCTTCTGAAATATTAACTGTTGGAACAGAGGGAATGGAAAATGTTCCTGTAAAGGTGGAGTTTCTGCTGTGGCACAGGGGTAGGAGGGCTGCTTCTCATGGAGTGGGAGCTGGGAAGCAGAGCCAGGTGTAAGATGTGCCTTTATCAGGAAACTCATGGGTCAGGGATTTTTTTTTGGTGCAAATCTGTGCAAGTAAGATCAGAGAGCGGAGCCATTTACCTCTCAGTGACGTAAAGGTTTAGGCAGTGCCTAGGGATGTTCTGTGAACTACATGGACTCCAGACAGGCCCCCTTGGAGCTATTGACACTATATTTGTTGTCAGCTCTATATGGAGGATACATTTTTGTAAAATATATAATTTCATTGACAGACTGTGGATATCCAGTCCTAGACCCATAGAAAATCACTGAGTTAAACTCCAGCTTTTCCCTTTTTGTGTTGCACTGATCCATAATGCACTCGTACAGTTAACAAAGATTATTTTTGGAAGGATGGCAGCCAGGACAACAAGCTTTGTCAAGATAAGAAAATGTATATGCATCTTGAAACTGCCTGAAATACTTAATATACTCAATAGACCTAGATATTTTGAAGCAGCATGTCTGAGTCTCCTTAGTGAGTGATCATAGTAACCCTTCTGATTCATGCAATCTTTTTGTGTTTTTATTTTTTTAAAGAAAGTATTTTATGCTCAGTATAGGCTTAAGTTTAACAGTTGCACCTTAAATAACTACTGTTTRCTCTATTTCTTCCTGTTGCTTCAGACCTGGAGTGTATTGAGCTCAGGTTTTTCAGTTCCATATTAAATGCTGTGTTCTCATCCCCTCTATTAATGGAAAGGCTGTATTGCACATTTCAGTGTTTTCTGGGTCACATGAAATGCAGAGGACTGTATGCTTTTTTTAGTGCTTTTTTTTTTTCCCAGTACTTTTACCAGTATAATACCATTGCTTGAATTTACAAATAGTATGAGTGGAAACCTTGGACTAAACTGGATTCTCTTCAATGTTTTTGTCTTCTATCAGCAGCAGATTATATTGAATCATTAAAGACAGAGTCTGAAAACTGTTCTAGAAATTACTGCTCCAGATTTTTAGTGCTGTGCCTCTTTTTTGCTGCAGCTTTTCCAGATTTAAGCATTTATACTTTGTCAGAAAAAACAAATACTGACTGCCGCAGCCTCTCTAGTGAATTAAAATGTAACATTCATTTTACTTTCACTTTATGTTGGCTTTCTCCAGGTGACAAGTTTCATTCACAGGTGCTTTGTCAGCCACAGAGCAGTCAGCATTCCAGAGATGGCTTATCATGAGTAAGGACCTTTTACAAAAATGAAGTTGAGTATATGTGGTCTTACAACAGGGCAGAACAGTCAGAATATGTTATTTATGTATTTAAATACTTCTGTTTATATACTTGTAACTTATTTATTATTCCTAGCAAAATAAAGATTTMGTCACATTCTGTCTGTCTGTCTTACATATAGGTGCAAAGTAGTCACAAGGTCATGCTTGTGAAAAAGATTCACGTTCAGGTTGTTCAGTATAGTTTTGTTTTGATTTAAGGTCTTGGTTGCACATTGAAATAGGTGTGTGTAGCACCCTCCTAACACACACACAAATTCACTCGTTTCTTGTTCWGTTATCAATGCCTTTACCTATGTAACCCCTTGCATAATGTTTTCTTTCACAGGTATCCTTTGTGTGGCTGACCAGTGCCATGGTTTGCGTGAGCTGGCACTGAACTACCACCTGCTGAGTGATGASCTGCTGCTTGCCTTGTCTTCTGAGAAACACGTCAGGTTAGAACACTTGCGCATTGATGTTGTCAGTGAAAATCCTGGACAGACTCAGTTCCACACGATTCAGAAAAGCAGCTGGGACGCTTTCATCAGGCATTCTCCTAAAGTCAATCTAGTCATGTACTTTTTCTTGTATGAGGAGGAGTTTGACCCATTCTTTCGTTATGAGATACCTGTCACTCACCTTTACTTTGGAAGATCAGTAAGCAAGGACGTGCTGGGCCGTGTTGGGATGACGTGTCCGCGGCTGGTTGAACTGGTGGTGTGTGCCAACGGATTACGGCCACTGGACGAGGAGCTGATCTGCATTGCGGAGCGGTGCAAGTACCTGTCGGCCGTGGGYCTCGGAGAATGTGAAGTCTCTTGCAGTGCCTTTGTTGAGTTTGTGAAGATGTGTGGCGGTCGCCTCTCTCAGCTCTCTATTATGGAGGAAGTTTTGATTCCTGATCAGAAATACAGCTTAGAGCAGATTCATTGGGAAGTTTCAAAGCATCTTGGTAGAGTCTGGTTCCCGGACATGATGCCCACTTGGTAAAGTCCTTAAAAGACTCCAGGGCGAATGGAATAGCACCTTAAACCCAAGCTTACCGTATTGCAATTTCCTGTATAAGCTTATTTAATAATATAGATTTTACTGGAAGTTAATTAATTGTTTGATTAGAAAATTAATTTTTCTTTCAAAAATGGTTTTGGAACTTCAGAACCAAAAATAAGAGTTCACCGCTCCAAAATCTGTTTTCATCCAAACAAAAATTAGTTTCTGGTTTAGATTTATTCTTTGTCATTAAAAGTGGCCTCAAATATTTTTGGAAATAAATTATTTAAAATATTGAAATGTACCTGCAAAATGCCAGTTTTAATAAGCTGTCGTTTGATTTAGATAGTAGTATTGGACACAATCATATTTGATCTTAAAAAGCCAAACAAACCCCCACCAAAATTGCATGCTTTTGTTGCGAGCTGTAGCATTTCTAAATCCAGTCACCTCGATGATGACAATTATAAGAAGTGCTTAGTAGCCCATAAAATACACACATTCTSTTAAATAGTCATAAAAGGCAAAAGCAATACACAATAATAAGAGTTTAGACAGCTAAAATAGTACGTTTGCTACCTTATTCAATAGACTATTAGATCCATCTAAAATGTATTTAGAGTGCAAACCAGTAGTGTGAGCTACCAAAAGCGGTGTGGGGTTTTTTCCACCCTCTATGCATTTTAATGTAGTTTGCTTATGGGGTCTCAGATCTGCGTCTAAACCTGTTTTAAGGTATTTTATGTCTAGCTCAGGAAGCGAAAGCATTCTGGGGAAAAATGTAGATACATTGTATTTAAAACCACATTGGAGTTAATGAGCTTTTCTTGCACATTAACCGGTTTGGCAGCATACGGTGAGATGGATTAATGTATGGTTTGTGAAATGAACCCTGCAATGTTATTCTGATGACATGGGTGTGAGCAGTGTGAGATGGAAAGGTAAAATTTGAATGTTGACCAAGAACCTTTTCACAAAACCTTAGACCTTTTGGCTGCTTTCAGTTTGAGAGAAATTATATTGTAACAGTTGCTTAAGCTGTATAAACTAACTGTATACTGTAAATCTGTTTCAGAAATGTTTATGTATAAAGTGGATGTTTGATAGATAATAATTTTGTATACCTTTAATTCATCTAGTTATGTCATTTCATAATATTTAAAAACCCAAAAGGAGTAGATTTGGTGAAGTAGAGCAATAGGCAAAATTTTGTTTTGAACATTTGACAAATCAGTTTTATTAAAGAAAAGCTTTTCGTTTATAAGTGGTGTAGGCAAGACATTGCCTGTGATTTGGATGTGGCTTGTGACATCATTTCTTACTGCCAACAGTTACGTCATTTTCTCTTTGAGGTTACTGATGGTAACACTGAAGTGTTGCCCAGACAGCTGCATGTTTGAGAGATGTGGTCAGCCCTTAGCAAGGCAGAGTTGCCCTGGCAGACTGTTTTGAACTTAGCTGGTGGCTGCTCTCACTTGAGCTGTACAGCCCCTTCTAGTAGTAAGCAGAYTTCCTTCATCTCTGATTTCAGTCACATTTATTCAAATGTATAGTTGAATGTAATACACTTACAAGTGTATTTAAGTTCATAACTATATTTTGAGCAAACAATGCTCAGCGGACTGGACATCTTTATAGGGGAGTTCTATGTTTCTGTAGAGCTTTGATTTTAAAATTGCATTTTATGAAATACGCGGTTTTTGTATTAGAATTTGTTAATGTAATACTATAATTTGCTTTTATTTGTACAAAAGGTGTCAATATATTTAGTCCGTAAAAGTAAAAACGCTCTGTGTTTTTTATAATCTGATTCTCAGAACTGCCTGTATGAGAAAGGTGGAGTAACACTTGTAGTCTGGGGAATAGGATTTGGTTTTCAGTAATGTGAAATAATACCATTAGTAGTGGCTCCAAAACCTTTTTGGACCTTGACTGCAGGTGTCCTGATGCTGGCAAGGTAAGTCACCAACATGTTGGCAGTGGTAATAAATGGAAAGCGAGGCACAACCTAAGTACTAGATCCCACTTGTGCAATTCACATCTTTGAAACCCAGTGGACACGAAATCCAGCATCCTGCCAGCCTCTGTCAGACCCTGCTGTGAGGAATGTTATGAGCTGGAGGTGGCATGGTTATAGTGGAACTGCTTCCCCAGCAAGGTAACTGGCCTGCTCTGGGAAGTTTGTGTTTGTGCACAGACTTCAAAACGTCCCTCCTGAATGCAGCACTGTATTATAAGAGTTAAAAAGATGTTCAAGTGCAAGAAAACTGCTTGAAAAGCAGTTGTGTCTCTTCCAGTGGAGGTCAGCAGGTTTTATACACCAAATCAATTACTGCATCCTTGGCTCAAGTAATCAACATAAACCCTTTTATCAAAATCTGTATGTCTTGTTTTCTGTATGTTGAAACAAACAACAAAGTAAATACATAAATCTCATGGCACAAGCAGTAAAGAGTACCACAAACTCTTGAAGTTCATTAGAAACATGGGTGTCACAGCTGTATCATTTTTCCGAGTTCACCTTTATTTCTTATTTTCTAAAGAACAAAATTCAGTGTTGGCTTGGTTGTCCAGTTTTGGGTAGTGGTTGAAGTGTGTTGYGACAAATCTGACTTCTGAACATATTGAAGGCAGGACTTAATCCAGAACATCAGTGGGTGGGTGTGTGAGGGGGAAGACAGGCAGCATTTTTACCAGCGATTTTCATTGCATGGCCCTTTGGGAAACACAGGAGCACACTCCATTTGACCTTSATGGATGACGAGCCAGGATCTGCCTTGCTGGGGAACCCTCCTAGAATGAAGTGTGGCTTACAACCCCAAGCRGTTCACTGGTTTTGTGCAGCAGTTTTGCACAAGACCAGTGCACAGACATGGAAATTGTAGTACAGAACGACTGTATTTTTGCCCTCAAGTGCAATGTGCATAAGAGCAGGGAGCAGAACCAAGCACAGGCTAAAGTGATGAGTAAGTGCTGTTTTCAAAGTGTGAGTAAAGACTTAGTGACAGYGACACAATGCCAGGCTTATCCTTAAGCGTGGCATTTTGGACAGTCYGTTTCCTACTATTGGGCAAGTGCTAATGCCATCTGCCTGTGAGTGAAATGACGTGTGATCTGCTCCCTGTGTGGTTTACAGGAGGAGGCTGTCCTTAAATGTTTTAGGTGAATAGGTGGTTTTCAGTCACAAGCTGATCATCAGGTGCACAGAAGGGGTTTGTGACATCTAACACTTTTAAGTTATAAAAGTGTAATTTTTATGGATCTATTCTGGTTTCTCTAAACTTTGWAGAAGTAGCCTATTGATCATCTCTGGTTTTTTGGCTCTAACTCTGTAGGCCTAACTCAAGAATTGTGGAGAGTACTACATTCTACAGTGCAGTAATTCCAGTTTAACTTCAACAACTACACTTCTTTTGGGACTGCAGTTTGTACTGGTGTTTATTACCTCACCGCWGTGCATTCCATCTGAACAATTAACACACAACCCCACCCCTATTTGAGAGAAGCAAAGAAAGTGAGAGCTCCCCAACCCATGTGCCCAGAAGGAATAAATAATGGCCTCAAAAGGAACTCATGTATGTTACATAAAGTGCAACTCCTACACTGATGATTGCTACCTTTAAACTGAGGATGACACACATGGCTGCATGGAGAAATCCCCACATCAGCGTCAGTGTGATCTGTGTGCTTGGTTCTGTGATCCTATTTACCCTTCAGAGCTCTGGGCCCTGGTTTGTGATGTTGAGGCTTTTTCCAGAGAAGACAGATAYGGGCTCAAGGATGTTCAGGATCTGAAAGTTATAAAAACATGCATGAATGAGAACGGAAGTTCTGTAGACTGGCTTGTTGCCCCTCTCTTGACTTCTCTAGAGCCTCCTCCATGACCTTCCTCGTGGTGCTATGTGGTGCTTGGCTGCTGGCTGGGTGAAACCATGACAGTATCTTAATCCAAAGCTGAGCTCAGTCACMAGGCTTGTGACTTCGACTAAAAACCTCAGTCTTTCTGTCTGAGGCAAAAGATGAAGTGTCACCTGACAGTGGAAGAGAGGTGTTCTCATCCCCTCATTCTTCTCACACTACCTCATGCTCATCCCACTACATGATAATGTTTACTAATTCAACTTATTGTAGTGACTTTAATTACTAATTCAACCAATTGTAGTGACTTTCTATATACAAGGTGAGTTTTCTGCCATTCTTATTATTTGAATCTAATCATTGTGTATTCCTCTGTTTGGCTGCAGCAGGCCATTAGCTTGATTCAAGCCAAATGAAACTGCAGAGTTGGGTTCCTGTGTTCCTGCCTGGCCACAAGMCAGCACTAACCTCTGCAGGAGCACTACTCATTCCACAGCTAGTTTGATTTTTTGGGTTTTTTTTTAAGTGAGCAATGAATAAGAGAGTATTATGCTGCTGCAGGTGGCTTCCAAAAAGCCAGCCGGCTTCTCTGGCTTTGGTCCCTTGGGTGTAAAGGGAACTAAGTAGTTGCCAGGCTGCTCTAAGCTGAGCCTGAAACAGGACTCGAGGGCAGCACAGTGGGCACAGCAGCACTACTGCAAACATCACTGCTAGAAAGAGGCTGCAATCACCTTTTACAGGCAGCTCTGTGACAAGCACAGATTTTTAACTCCCATGTCAAAACCCGCCCCCAAACCTTTCATATTAAGGTTTCTATGCTTTCTGAAGAAATTTAGAAGGAATRTATCTTGAGTTCCATGAAACTGACCCAGTTAAAGCTCAAGTAGACTTTAAGATAGGAGACTGGTAGAAAGAACACTGCAGTTATGCATCAGTCAACATCAAAACAGGCAGCTTGGCTTTTATCTGTGCTATAGAACACACATGAATCTGAGGAAGAGCCATCTGTATTATGTTTACAGTGCAGTTGAAGGAAGCAAAGTGGTGAAAAGGCACCAGCCATGCCATCTTCTGGTTACATTCACTGCCCCTTCCCACCCTGCTGAACACCTGGGAACAGTTCAGAGATCCAARCTGTACCCACCAAAGAGCTACAGAACACCAGTGTAAGGCACATGTTGAAGGAAATGGACATATCAAGATGCTCAGGCCAAGTTAGTCCTTGTAATGCTTGTGTCCCATGTCTGTTGGTGGCCAGCTGCTGTCTGCTGCCACGTGGCCAGAGATGTGGAGAGCACCTGAGACCAGAGCAGGCAGCTGCCTCCCCACTCCCCATGTGGCACTGCAGAGCTCAGCCAGAGGAGCCAGTGCAGTGTCCCTTCTGGCAGCAGGGGCCATGGTTACACTGAAGAGGGGCCAGGTCACAGATGCTGAAGCGTTCATGAATGTGTTATACAGGTAGTAAGAAAATAAAAGCACAGTCTTTCGCGTGGTTTAGCAAAGCCTTCCCAACACACTTTTTACAGTCAGTAGTGAAACATCAACCTGCTAACACCATCATGGTAGCGCCCCAAAATCCATAAGAATATTTTGCCATAAAGGCAAGTTTTGTTCTTCAGYAGGCAGTCACACACCAAAGGATGCTTTGCTTCCAACAGGCAAAGGAACCTCTTCATAAATTATTTTGAGGTAAGGGAACTTCATAGGTAAAAACCAGTATTCCAAGTTGTAGAAGAGGTAAAACTGATGATTCAAGATTACGCGATCAATTATTTTGAAAAGATCCACAAAAAACTCTCTGACTGTCTGATGAGGTTTAAATGGATTGTAAAAGTTTCTTATAGCTGCTGCCAATGTCTTGTTTCCTTGTGGTCCAAAAATAGATGTTTCATTCCCCAAATAAATAGGTTCTCCACTGTATAAAATTATGCTTGTATAGTTTGTTTGTATCTTCTTAAATACAGCTCCTAAGTCAGCTAGCTTCTGGTAGGTTCTCAGTATGAACTTGGAGCACTCATAAGAGTCAAACCATACTGTTGAATTTTTACCAGGACTTGCTTGAACTGTCCAGGTCTCATAGTAAATGCCAGTCTCATTGTCATATTTTACCCACTGTGCCATTTCATTAAACATGGTTCCTGTAAGAGATGAAATAAGTATTACAGCGACAGGGTAACAAATACAGGACTCAAAATATTTTCCATCTATTTCAAGTTTCACCTCCCTCCCTTGCAAAAGTTTACCTACATTACCTCGCCATACACAGACACAAGGCTTAGGTTGGAAGGGAAAGAGAGAACCCACTGAATAAACTACATTTACATGCAAGTTATTTAAAACATGATTTTTTTTTTCTGACCCTTTTCCTGCTACTATGCCAGAACATCCAAACATCAGAGAATTGTAACACTTCTCATTTTGCTTTATCCATGCAGACAAACAGCGCAGGTAGTCCACAGGAGAYGCTGGCAAAATGCTCACCAGAGCAACAAGCATTTCTGCACTTCTTCAAGTTTTAACTAAATTCAAAAATTCAGAGCAGAAATTTCCATGTCTCTTCATAAAAGAGACACACTTAGACACCCTGCTGTTTTAGCAGCTCCTCAGCTGGCAAAGCTAAATTCAGTGGAATGTAAGAGCAGCAAAATGGGATGCTTTTTTGCCTGCTCTCTGAAGAAAGCAAGTTCAGCTCATGATGCTGTTCACCTGCACTTGCATCCAGTCACCCTCTTTCACAGCAACTTTCAGATTCCTACTCAAATTCAGACAACAGGAAACTCTTAGAGATGCTACTTCCCTGTAAGTTTCATGGAAATGGGAAGCAAGAGGCAAGGAGGACTGTAACAATGCCTCCACCAAGCAGCAGCATAACCTCAGCCTTCTTAGACCTCAAATAATCCACACAGAGAGGAAGCATGACAAGTTCCCCARCTGTATGAAAATATTTAACTCTGCATCCATACGAAAGAATGCAACCGTATTAGGCATCAAGTACTTTAGTCATGAACTACAAACTCACAGGAAAGTAGCTCCACTTCATTGTCTGAAGAAGTTAGACAATGTCTAGAATTTCTTAGCAGCACTGGATAGATTACGCAGAGACTAAGGCCAGCAAAGCTGCTAAGGGTGGAATTCAGYACACACAAAGCATCACATCACACAAGCTGTAAGCTGACTATCCWCTGTGCCTTGTACACTACACTAAGTTCAAAGAGTAAATGATTTTGGTCACAGAAAATGTAACTCTCCAAGTCCTCAGTGAACTGAGGACTGTAAGTTATTCACTCTATTGCTAGAGAAATCAATCAGATTTATTTAAATGACCTTTTCATTTTAGGATTGCAGTGTTCAGTACATACCCAGAAGCTCTTCTGGTGATCACTCATGTATTTTCAGGTATAAGTTCTAGGTTTGTTCTACAACATACGACAAAGACCTGCTCCTATATTCCTATACTCATACTACCTTATACTGGGGACATTTTCACAGTTTTTGACACATAATGGGGGTGAAAGAAATAGAGATTAATATTTTTATAACTTTGAGACTGTTGCTAAATATGCCTTATTTGTTTGCTCAATAATGAACATGTTTTCAACAGTTTTTCTGTCTCAGCGGTCATCTGCCACTTCACAATAGAAGGTTTTGTTTTTGTGAAGCAATGTGGAAAGAGTCCATAATGACTCTGTATAAGCTGTTTTGTTATTTTTATACTCAAGAGACTCAAGTGTTTTTGCACAGAAACACCAAATGACTCTCACTTAACAACTCTCCAACTGCTCAAAAGGCACCAGCCTCATACCACTTTTTGTATTAGAGTGTTTGAAATTAGCATCAGTGACTAACACTGCAAATAACCTACCGAACATAAATTTAAAGATACTGCTTTACGAAAGACAAGGCTGACTCTCTATTTTGTATTAACATTATCAAAAGCATCTAAAATCTACCTGATATTGTGGTCACAAGAACTAAAGTTCCATTTTCCTTCCAGTGTGCATCATCTATTCCTTCATAGAAGCAGGCAGCTCCCTGATTACACCAGAAAGGTGCATCCATGCCAGGCCGCAGATGTGGGAATGTGCAGTTCCCAAGTTGGAAGAGCTCATACCACTCCATTGTGTAGTTTTTGCCTGTTAGAGAGCTCTTGAAACCCACAGCATCATGCATAATTTTCTGGAAAAGAAAAAAATAAACAAACCACCAGAACTTTGATTTTRTAACAACTTCAGCTTGACCTGTCCAGAAGGTAAGATGCTCAGGAGCTGTTCTGTAACAGGGTAAGAAGAGGAGAAGGAGTTCCTATAATACCTTGAATTCAGTAACACCAAAGCACAACACACTAGATTGCATGACACACTTTCGTCAGAGCAATCAYGCTGTCTCAGTGGTTGTCTATCCATCCATTATAAATTCTGTCACTTGGAGGCAGATACTCAGTGGAGCTCATCATCAAGATTCAAGCTGACTTTTGAATCCTTGACCTCATGGGGTGTCAGAGAAATAAAGAGCAGAACCAAGCTACCTAAACCAGATCTTGCTAATGAATGCCATAAAAGGAATGAGATAAGTATTTTGTTTAAAAGCTGTATAGTAAAAACATAAATCCATATTTAGTTAACAACCAAGATATCAGTATGTGAATCTATTTCCATTTTTGACTGTTTGTGCTTGGTTTTGATTCCTTAACATTTCTTCACTGATTAGGAATCATGCTTTGAAGATTAATTTTGCTATTGCTGTAATTATAAATATTACTAAAGCTGAGACTCTTTCATATTTGYATGACTCCATGAATAGAGACTTCAATTCCACACTGATCATAACACTCAAGAAAGAACTGTAAAAGCAAYTGGCTTCTCATGATCCAGCATTCTCACATCTGTCCGCTCCTGAGAGATATCAGTGTCCAAGCAAATATGTGAGTTTTTAACCGCAGAAAAGTTAATACACTAAGCAACTTATTTTATCTAGGGAGACAAATGAAAGTATTTTCTTGATGCAGTAACAGCACAGAAGAAAAGAGACCCAAGACATAATGGCGTGCATGTACAAAACACTCAATATGCAGCCACATGGGGGAACATGTTCAAACCCACCAACAGTGCTGTTCATGCTGCTCTTGTCTTTGGCTGAGCTAAATCCTCTACATTTTGTTTGAAACCTAATGGTCTTTGAGTATCTTTCCTACAGACAGCCTAGCTTGTGTGCTCTTATATTCTTCCATCCAAGCATATCCTGACCTTAAAGCTCCCGTTCTTGATACCTGCTGTTAAATTCAGCTTAATTTGTCACTATARCTTTGTTAAAAACATCACCTTACCAAATGTCCTAGTAGGCTCCCATACTTGAATTCCCACACTGGAGCCTGTAACCGATACACTTCAATGACATCGTCGTCTTTCATAGCMGGAATGGCAGAGCCAGTGGGACAGAAGGTGTAACGAGCTTGGCAGTAAGGATCAGTCTTTGGACGGAAATCAAAGCGCCTGTGTTGAGAAACAGAAGCACAGAGGATGATGAGCACGGCCCTGCAGCTGGAGTAACTGTCATAGCTTTCTGTGGGGGGAGGCTTCAGTTTGCAGCAGCCCCAGAGGCAGATTCTGTGATTCAGGCATTGCAACACTTGGAGTTCACAAGTTCATAAGGTTGCTGGGGTGCACATCTGCAGAAACAAGACTTCAGGATTTAAGGCTCACAAATGCAAGTCACACTGTACTGATAGTGAAGAAATGGAAATAATGCAGATTAACAAGGGTGACATACTCCACAAAATCAGAGACAGACAGATGCTGGGTAAAAGAYAGTTTGAGATGTGCCTCAAAACCACTCTCCTGACAATTTACTTATACAGGGATTAACCAATATGTTCTTACTATTCTATAGTAAGAGGTCCCCAGATGAAGCTATTTTGACTCTGCCAMGATCAGAAAAAAAATTAACCCCTCTATGCTAATTTAGATAAAAGAGGTCTAACGACCTAGCTAGGATCATCATTTCCATTTCATTCCTATTAGATCTCAAAAACTGAAGACCTGACCCACTTACTTATCACACTGCACACAAACAGCAAAGAACCTTTTTGACAAGTGTGTGGGGTTTGTGTGGCCAGCTTTTGGTAGCAGGGTGGCTACATGGATGGCTTCTGTGAGAAGCTGCCAGAAGCTTTCCCCCTGTCAGGCAGAGCCAATGCCAGCCAGCTCCASSATGGACCCTGCACTGGGCAGGGCTAAGCTAATCAGGAATGATAGTAACAACTTTGTGATAACAGATTTAAGTAGGAGAAAAACGTTATTAAACACATCTAACTGAGGCCAGAGAAGAGCTGAGTGAGAATATGTGAGTGGAATAGCCCTGCAGACACCAAGGCTGATGGAGATKGAGGRGGAGGAGCTGCTCCAAGTGCTGGAGCTGAGATTCCTCTGCAGCCCGTGGTGCAGACCATGGTGTGAAGCAGCTGTGTCGCTGCAGCCTGTGRAGAAAACCCATGCTGGAGCAGGTRGATGCCTTAAAGAACACTTTGAACCCATGGAGCAGGCTTCAGACCAACTGAGAGAGAAGCCCACACCGGAGCAGGCTTCCTGGTAGGAAAAAGGTCCAGGAACACTAAAGAAGTTCATGGAAAACCGTCTGCTGTGCAAGGGACCCCATGTTGGAGTAGGGGAAGGACTCGTCTCCCCAAGCAGCAGCAGGAACAACATCTGATGAAATGACCATGACTCCCATTCCCCATCTCCCTGCACCACTAGGGGGAGGAGGTAGAACCTGGGAAGGAGAGAGGTATGGGGCAAAAGTGTTTTTAAGATTTATTTTACTTCTCACTRCTGTGCTCTGATTTTGTAAGTAATCAATTCAATTAATATCCCAAAGCTGAGTCTGTTTCGCCTGTGACAGTATTTCATGAGTGATCTCTCCCTGTCCTTATCTCAATCCATGAACCTTCTSCTGTATTTTCTTTCCCCTGTCCACTTGTGGAGGAGAGTGATAGAGTAACTTTGGTGGGCACTTAGCATCCAGCCAGGATCAACCCACTACAAGTCCTCCTCTCCCAATTTCGTTTAGAGTCACTCCCTGTATTTCACTTAAAACAAGGTTCCTATATGCCTGTTACCAAGACAAATTGGCATGCTCAGCTTGTCCAGATCTTGCTTGGTTAGCCTGAGAGTCTAACACTCAGTTGCCCAGGGCTACTTACAGAAATACCCCAGCTGTGAGATGACTCAAGGACACAGGACTTCGTGAGCAATAGCAAGGCCTGCAGCCCAGCTGAGATATCACCAATTTTCCCTAAGGACTTCTTTCCCAAGTTTGCTGGGGACTCCAGCACATCTGCCTTTATTTTGTCCTGGGGGAAAAGGAAAAAAAGGCCCCAAGCCCCAGCGAGTATGTCTGAAGAAAGAACACACAGAAAACAAAGATTCAGGCCAAACACACATTCGAGTCCTGTTTCTGGACTGCACATTTCACATTTTCAGCTCCTCCTTGCACTGCACCTTGCATGTAACAAGAAGGTAACAAGCATATTAAGAAGCACAAAAATCCCACATTTCTGAGCATTTCACACCAAAAGGTTTGTACTCCAAATATGACCATCCCAAGACCCAGTCTTGCTACTAGTGAACTTGCTGGAAAATCCCAACAACTCGTGACTACAAGATCAGCTCCTTCAGCCATCACCTGACGCAAATTTAACTTCTGGAAATTATGCAACAGGCTCTCAAAATTTCAGGTGCGCATTATWAAATAACAGTTAAACATTGATAACTACTCCCTTTACAAACAGCAAGCCCGCACAAAATACACAATCAAGCGTAGCCCTTCTTCTGAAGGGGCTCATTTCCCCGGCACAGTCACAGCTGTCGCTATTTTCATGCCTCAAAGTGCAGTCTCCTGCTGTCCCCAACAGCACCAGGACTTCTGCCACTCAGGCAGCTCTGGAGCAGCGAACGGGGTTTTGCACCGTTTTATTTATCATGGARAGAAGTATGACGTTAAGTTAAATTWAAAAAATAAAACAACCCGTACCCTGAGTTCCTCATCAKCGCCTTTTCTGCGGGCATTAGGAAGCATGTTTAGAGGCGGGCAGTCATTCCCGGGTACCAACCCTACCGCTGCTGAGACCAAACGCGAAGCTCTCGGCCTGGGATGGCACCACCGCTCCCTTGGCGAGCCAAATGCCGTGTAAATGACCAACACCCCACGATCAAAAAGGAGAAGCTTTTCGCGGCCTTTCCAGTCTGATACACCGAGAAGCAGAGGAAGCGCAGCGACGGCGGCCCGGCGAGGCCTCCCGCGGCACTCACCTGTAGGGCACGGGCCAGCGGAGCCCGCCCGCCACACGCAGCCCCCACACCGCCAGCAGCAGCAGCAGCAGCGGCGGCAGCAGCCCCGAACAGCGAGCGGAGCCCATGGCGGAGCCAGAGCCGGGCCCGGAGCTGCGGGGGAAGCGGCGGGGCCGGAGGAGGCCGGGCTGGAAGGAGCCGCCCCCGCKCCCGCCCACCGTGCCGGGGAGGCCGGCGGGGCCCGCCGAGCCTGGGCCTGGCCGGACGGGGGTGCTTTTCCTGCTTCTCTCTGGGGAAACCAGCTGTGTGCCGAATTGTCCCCCCAAAAACGTCACCCGACTGTCTTTTCTGTCGTTTCACGCATTGCTTTGGTGACGCTTTAAGGCTGGCGAAGGGTCTGGAGTGCAAGTCCGCTGAGGAGCAGCTGAGGGAACTCGGGGTGTTTAGCCTAGAGAAAAGGAGGCTTATGGGGAACCTTACCAGGCTCTACAGCTCCATGAAAGGAGGTTGTACTAGGTTAKGGTCGGCCTCTTCTCCCAGGCAACCAGCGACAGGACGACAGGACATAGTTTTAAGCGGCACCAGGGGAGGTTTAGGTTGGACATTAGGAAGACCTTCACAAAAATGGTGACTGGGCATTGGAATGGAYTGCYCAGGGAGGYGRTGGAGTCATCRTCCCTGGAGATGTTGAAGGAGACACTGAGAAGGCACTGAGTGTCATGGTAGAGCTGACGTGGAGGTGTTCAGTCCCCGGCTGGACTCAACGATSTCAGAGGTCTTTTCCAACCTAACTGATTCTGTGTTTTTGTCAAAGACACATCAAGCCCCCCATTTTCACATCCAGAACCTACAGAGAGGGGGGGCTTCTTAATCTGGCCCTGGGATGATGATGTGAGGCCTCACCAAAGGGCAGAGAGGCTTTTGCTGTGATAAAGCCTGTAACCCTGAGCCTCTTCAGGCTGCCATGAGGTCTTGGCTGAAACTTTTCAGTGCTTCAAGCTTAGTTGGTATATCTGTCGCCCCTTTCAGAACACTTACTCAAATCATAACCCATTATGGCAATCATATGGCAGTTTATTCTCTTGTCTTTATGATAATGTGTTAACYATCTTTCAGATGAACTATGAGAAACTGAAGAGAGGTTTGCCAACAACATCCTTGCAGAAAACACAGCTTTTTCCAGTTCTGTAAAGTTCAAAACTGACTATGCTGGTGTCAGAGTCCAGTAGGCTAAGTTTGGTAGTTGGCATCCACAGTGAAAACATTGGCGTATGTTATTCACTGGGTAAATAATAACTGTGCAGTGGACTTTTGACTGTCAGGAGACAGAAAAATATCCCTGCTCATTGCATATGAGCCCCTAAAGAACAATCAGTTCTCTAGCCAGCACTATGCTAGGCTGTATATTCAAACAAAATTGCAGGTGGAAAATCCTGTATCCTTCATAAAAATGCAGGAAATGCAGCTGAATATCAGCTTCAGTAATACTGGGGTTACTAAAGGTGTTCAGAAAACCTTAAAACTTTTAATTACAGCAACATTTCTGTATCTCACTTCCCTGCTACCTGATTCTATAGTGCTTATCTTTAAAATCCATGCCATTCATCATTATACATTAATTTAATGCATGCTTACATAATCTATACATACTTATTCTTCTGTATTCTCATTTTTATCTCATTTATGTCAATTGTGTCTGAATTAAGGTAAAGCTCTGGTTTCATTTGTCAGAAAAGAAAGTGTGCCAGTAATAATGAATGTTTCATAGCTTGAGTGTAGTACAATGTGTCCAGTCTTTCATCCGTTCAAAAAGATATATGTTTGTTTGGCATTTAGACATAATTTATATATAAACATAATTCCTAGTGCTAGAGATTTTAATGTGTAACTCTGGAAGTGCTTTATGAAATGAAGGAAGGATAATTTATCCCTTTTATGAAACCAGGATGCAAGGGAGTGAAATGACATAATGAAGGTGCCATGACTGCTCATTAGCCAAACTAGAAATGCAGTATGAACAGGTTCTTAGTCCTGGCTCAYGTATGTTTACAGAAGGGATTATTAAATCTCTAATATGTGAATGCTGAAGGTGTTGTGGTGAATGACTAAGTTGGCAAAGCTCTTGGTTTTTCTCCTTTTTTTCTTTTTTTAAATTTATTTATTTATTTATTTTAATAACATTTTTGTATCTCACTTCATTACATCCTGCTGGAAACTTTTGCAGCAAGGTAATCTTTTTTGTTTTTGTTTTTTTTTTTTTTTTCTCATGCAACCTAAGTCATGTTGTGAACATAGAAAACAAATCACTAATACATTTATGAATAAATATACTTCAGCTAAAAAGCTCACATGTCAGCAAGTTAAGTCAGCCACTGTCTAGTTTATTATGCAGAAAGATGTCAAATTCTCCATTATAAGCCCACAGAGCTGATCTGCATCTTTGTCCAGTAACAGGCTTTGAGGAAATACTGAGACTGGCTACAAAGATCAAGTTCTAGAGCTGACACGATTCCTAAATTTTTCTAATTTCCCAGAGTATTTTCACTGATTACTGAAAACAAAACATTTTCCTGAAACAACAAATACTGTTGGTGATTTCCTATTATAAATCAGTAGCTTCTCCATCTTTACCCTTGACATGGACAGGATGGAGGGAACTGAAAGAAAGGGGAAAACAAACCCTACTGCTTCAGCCAGAAGTTGTGGTTTTGAACAGATAGTTTGGCTTTGAACATGTACGTGAGTCATCACACTGTAAGTCACAGCAAAGAGGCTGTTGCACCTGAAGTAACAGCCCCTGTCTCACAAAAACAGTCTGCTCTGGATGGTGCTTACACCACAGCCACACATCTCCCAGCCTATGCATACACTGGCCATATGCCATTCTGTAGGAAAGTCAGTTATATATATGGATCACAGCAGATAAAACTACACATCTGGCAGCTTTACTGCTCACAGGGTTGTTTTTTATCCCACTCACTGCCATATGTTAGCTATTGAGTCAGTTGGCTGCAAACTGGGAAATACAAACATTACCTGAAGTCACACTGAAGCTGCTCTGAAAGACAGGAATTCATCAGTCAGAGGCACAATCTCTGCCTTTGAGGGGTAAGAAAGGAATCTTGAGAAAAAGAGCCAGAAACAGGGCTCCTGTGCACCTACACTCTGCTACATAGCCTGGGATTCCAGCTGAACTGTGAGCTGGGATGGGAGAAAGYCATGTCTTTTCCTACAGGAAGGGGGAATGACTTTGTGACTGTGTAAGGTACTTCTAAAAGTTCCCTCAGGACCTCCTTGATCCTGACAGCTGACAGGATGAGGGCTGAGCWCAGGGCAGATGAGCAGCCCAGTAACTGTTTGGGATCACAGGGCACCTCCTGCTTGTCTGTCAGCTAGGAGGCAGGCGATGGAAATTATTTCCTTCCAAATTGGAATTCCAGGGGGCGCTGYTGAAGCCTGAGAGAGAAGATGAGGGTTGGGATAAGGATGCAGATGAAGTTCATCACCAGTTTTAAACTGAGATGAACCCTCTGGGATTTACCGCAGTGTAGGGATAAGTGAACTGATGAGTCAGTTGGATGMAGCCTATGAAATACAAAGAGCTATCCAAGTCAAATTTAAGCCAACAGCTGTTGTCAGGCAAMTAAGGTGATTCAAAACAGGATTTTCACCAGAGAAAACATCTTTCTMAAATCCTTGGCAGTAGGAAAAGGGTTGGGGTCCAGGATGGAGCTGGAGCTATGCTGTAGCATAGCTCAACCCTAGGAGTCAGAGTGTGGGCTGTGGTGCAGATGGAGCTGAATCCCTACATTAATTTGGAGTAAACATTGCCCAGCAGACAGGAGTTTGCCCTTCAGCAGGGAATTTCTCTATCTTGGCCCTGTCCTGTTCCAGAATCTCTCTATCCATCATYCCACACAGATTCACAACCAATCAGTATTCAACTGAATTAATTTTGCTACAGCAAAAGGCTTTGCTTTCAAATGTAATTTTTGCTCCTCCCCATCTACTCACTGTGGTACCTTCTGCAGAAAACCCATACTCCAAATTTTTGGAATATACTCTCATTTTTCTACAAGATCCAGATTTTCAGCCCTCYGGTGCAGTTTTCATTATTAAGCCCAAGTTTCTTTTTATTATAAGAGAGGCAGCTCATGAAAAATTAGTAATGSAGACATGAGAGATCCTACTAAAACTCAGTACAGCTGATCCCTGGTGTAGCATTTGTGTGCACAGTCCTAAGGAGGAGAAATGGGATGCATTCATTTCCTTTGGTTCACTACTGCTATACCTTAGGGACTAAGCTGGAAGTTGGTGAAAGAAGAAAGGTTGGTTTTCTAAAAAAACTCTGGTACTCCTGGTAACATGGAGCAGCTCCTTAGAACTCAGCATGATGTTAAGGAAGAAAATGTAGGTGGATCTGATGCATGAGGTGTCCCTGAAACAAACAGCAGCACGACCCAGCAGGCCTCATACCAAACTCCACTATTTTATTTTTTTTTTTTTTTTTTTCTCCACTACAATAATTCATATTTAGTTTAGCTGCTGATGTATATTTTCATAGGTTGTTACATAAAACTCCAATGTAATAAATTTATGTTATAAACAAAGCAATTTGGAACTCAAATGTCATTACACCATTACATCCCTACGCGTAAAACAAGCCCCCAAAATGAAAACCACCTCCTAGATATCCCCCTGGGGCTCTGCGAGACCCTGCAACTTTGGAACTGGGGACGAACACGCACGTCCTACAGCACTCCAAGGGTCACCGTGCGGCACCAGCACACCACAGCCTTGCCGAGGGGCGCAGGCCAGGCCGAACATGAGGCTGAAAATACGTCTGAGTCTATTGTATTTAACACTAAAGACACATGCCCTTTGTTTTCCAGATTTCCTCATCGACTTTCCGGCCCGCGGCAGACGGACACGGCGGCGGAGCGCGGGGGCGCAGGCGCGGCAGGAGCAGGAGGAGGAGCAGGAGCASGGACGGTGCTGCCAGGACCGGGCCCGCCGCCTGGAGCAGCCCCTTCCCGGGCCTGAGGAGCGGCTGCCATGGGCAAGCGGGTGGCGCTGGTGCTCGCCGGCTGTGGCGTGTTCGATGGCAGCGAGATTCACGAGGCATCGGCGGCGCTGGTGCACCTGAGCCGCGGCGGCGCGGAGGTAGCGGGGAGCGGCGGGGTGTGTGTGTGTGTATGTTTATGTGTATACATACGTGTGTGTGTGTGTGTATGTTTATGTGTATACATACATGTGTCTCTGTGAGTGTGTATGTGTGTGTGTAAGACCCAGCGTGGGCTGTATTTGACGCAGCAGCCGAGTGTCCCCTCCCTCCTTGGCCGTACCCCCAGCCCTGGCTCCCGCTGTGTGTGGCACCGCAGCCCYTCCCAGTTCGCGATGTTCCCTACGCCGCCCCTGCGCACTACAAACCCCGTTCAGCCATAATCTCGCTCCTTTTGTGGCTCCCTTCCCTGTTTTATTCACCCCCGCCCAAAGACCTGGCCCCCTGACAGGAGCTGAGGTCGCAAACAGGCAGCTGGACAGGAGAAGACTGAGAGATCTCATTGATACCACTAATTTACAATACTAAAAGTCACGCCTACAGGTCATAAAAAAAACCCCTGCCCATGTGAACACCCAGAGCATGCGTAGAAGTTAGCTGGAGTTAGAAAACTTGTACGGAATTACTAGCTGATGGTAACAGATGGGCTGCACTTAGAGAACTACTAACTCTGAATTTCTGTGTGCAGACAATGGCACAGTAAGTCYGGTGGGTGTRCTTGATTTGTGGAATACCACCGAACACCCAGGCTTGCAGGACTCTGAAAAAATTAATCRGTGTCTCTCTTGAGTRTGTAATTATTGCCTTGTCTCACACCAGGTGATGAATCCAATTTTGTGGGCAAAAGTGCCAGTGATGCCCAGTGACAGGACRAAGAGCAATGGCCATAAATGAAAACACAAGGAGTTTCATCTCACTATGAGAAAGAACTTTATGTTGAGGGTSGCAGAGCACGAGAACAGRCTGCCCAGGCGSTCRTGGAGTYTCCCTCTCTGGAGACATCCAAAACCCASCYGGATGCATTCTTGTGTAACCTGYTCTAGGTATCCCTGCCTGGTCAGGGGGGTTGGACCACATGATCTCCTGAAGTCCCTTCCAATCCTAACAATTCTGTGATCATGTGAACCCAGGAGCAAGGAGCAGCTGGAGACCTGCCTCTTCTCTGGCTTTGGGGAGCTGAGGATAGGTTAAAATTCTTTATCTTCCTTCTGATAGCTTTTGCAGCCCTCACTGGGGTTCACTTGCTTGTTTTCTACTGCCTGTTTCTGGGCTCTCTTTGGTAATGTGGGACTTGTCAGAGAGGCTTGGGCCAGGACACACTGATGTACTTTGGTCCCATCTGTGGCTTCAGATAGAATAAGGTGGTCATTTTGTGTAGCCACATTCAGGTGTYTGATGGTAACAACAGCACCCTCATATTTAGCACAAAATTGCCATCTCTGAGAAGTTTTCAAAGGAAGCTTCAAAACAGACAGAAGGAAACAGCCCCTGTGGAACACCTGTCACAGAGCATCACATTCTGATGCAGTGTTTCCCTTTTGTGTCTAGCCAAAATCTGTTCTCCTGTGTTTCATTCACCCTTTCTGCTGCTGGTGTTTTAGGACAGCTGGTAACTCTAATGTTTGCTCTAGAAAATGCTTGTAAAATTTGCATCTTTAACTTTTTTATGTCAATTTTTTTTAGCACTTTCATCCCATAAGAGTTAAGAGCAACCTTTYTTCAAAGTCAGCTGTACATCCAGTTGGGCTGCTGCTATAAATTGTGGTGTCCTGTTTGTCCTTGGTGTTAACTGCCATGGCAGTATTAGCAATGTTGGCATAAGAATGCCCTCCTGTCAAAATGCTGCAGGAACAGGATGGGGAGAATGGCTGTGTTTACCCATCCTAATATATCCTATGTTACTTTAGATATTTAAGATGCTGAATTTATCCTGTGACATTCACTTAACTTGCATAAGAGGTTTCAGGGGCAAAACCTATTTTCATTAAATGATCTTTATTGTGAYCAATGTGTATGAGTTCTGTTTACATTCACAGAATTGCTTCATCTCTCTTCTAGGTGAAGATATTTGCCCCCAATATTGAGCAAAGGGATGTAGTCAATCACCTAAAAGGAAGTCCAGCAGAAGAGAAGAGAAATGTGTTAGTTGAAAGTGCCAGGTTGGCAAGAGGAAACATTCAGGATTTGGCTGAACTGAAAGCTAGTGAATTTGATGCTGTCATTTTCCCTGGTAGGTGTTACAGAATAACAGTATATTCTGAGCTAGGAGTGACCCACAAAGGTCATGGAGTCCAACTCTCAAGTGAATGGCCCATATAGGAATTGAGCCCACAACCTTGGTGTTGCTAGCACCATGCTCTGACATCTGAGCAAATTTTTTTAAAGAAAATTATTTGTGATTTTTTTAACTCAATGTATTTATTGATCAATGATTCACCAGGTTAAAAATACCAGAGGACTCTTTTGATTTTAATTTATGCATCACACCATTCCTTCTTTCTAAAGGTTGTGAAAACTTCACTACTTACTTGTGGACAAGAACACTGACCAGAATACAAAAAAGGGTCAGAACTTGGTTACATTACGATGCCTTAATTTTAGGGCCTCTGAAAACATCAGCAGAATAGCAGGTTGCCAAATAGATTATATTCCATATCAGATGTGAGTACATTTTGTTTTAATTATGTATCCACTCAGCTGCTGATCAAGTTATACTAAACATGTTTATGGATAATTTTTTATTTAGAGACCACAAAATCACCTTCCAGATGGAGGTAATTGTAATAACTTTTAGAAATTAATAAACTGGAGCATCACGAGGAAATCGTGACTTGCTGCAGATCTCTTTCCAGAATATTCATAGCACTGTTAAATACTGCCTTCATAATTTGGCCTAAGTGTTAAATTTGAAGTTTTCWCACTGTTGAAAGGCCAGCAGAGGGAGTATGTGTATAACAGAGAAACCAACCTGCCTGCACTGAAGGCGAGTGGTTGATGTCAGGGCTGATCAGGAGGGAGTAGAGGTTCAGGGATGTTTTCCACGTTAATTTCATGCTGTTATAACCCAGGCTCGGGGGGTTGCTGTAATAACTGTTAGAGGGAAACAAACCCTATTAAGTTTGAAAATTAAAATCTTACCTCAGAGATTTCAGATAACACTTGGAAGTAAGCAAACCAGGAAAGGAAAAATATTAAAAATGCAAAGCTTCTTGATGTCTGYTGAAATACTTGTGGAAATTTCCATATGTTTATTGTAGAAAAGTTGATGTCGTGCACATTCCATATGGAATAATCTTACTTTGATTATTCTGATGGTTATAAATCTAGCAAACAAAGGAGCTGTAAAATACAAATTGCTTATACAATTAGATGAAGATTAAATGCACCTAAAGGATTGTTAAAACTAATTTATAGAAAGACAGATCAGCTCTATTTTTAATAGGAAATTATGTTATCTTTCACAAGTGTTTGTGTCTTAGAATATCATATATAATGTCCATTTTATGTAAAATCCCTTTTGTTTTTATTGTATTAATCTCTTTTTTTTAAAGTTCAAAAATAATTCTAGGGAAGAAGAAAAGCTCTACTAGAACTGCTTAAGTATGAARGTAAAACTTGAGAGTTCACTACTGTAGAGGGTCAAATCATGGTTTGCATTACTCCCATGAATTCCATACTTGTGCTTTTAACTAGTATTGGTCTTTCTTCTAATCCCTCTTCCTTATTGAGGAGTGCATAACAGATGGTGCAGCAGTTCTAGTGACTAGTAAAGGAATGTGAGGTTTCCTGTTYGTCTATTTGTTGCTTTTTGAAACAAGATTAAACTTTCTGGCCTATGTATGGTATAAAAAAGAGTGCAGTTAAACTTGTAACATTGTAAACTCATCATTTAGAGGTTACAGTTACATTGTAAAGTTTTCAGTACAGTAACTTAASAATCCCACAGATACAAAGATTATGTTATGAGAAAGAGCTTCTCTTTGGTATCAAAGTTAATGGCTTTTAAGGCACTAGCCTTACATTTGAGCTTTTTGGTTTTGTGGTTTGTTTTTTTTTAGGTGGTTTTGGTGTAGCAAAGAATCTGTGTTCCTGGGCTGTAGATGGCAAGAATTGTACTGTCAACGAGCATGTGAACTCCACACTCCAAGCCTTCCACAGTGCTAAAAAGCCCATTGGTTTGTGCTGTATATCACCAGTTTTGGCAGCCAAAGTCTTTCCTGGCTGTGAGGTTACCGTCGGTCAAGATAAAAATGTAGATGGAAGGTAAGAAGCAAATGGATRGAAATKATTTACATGGGAATTAGAATTAGGRAATAGGTTTATGTGCAAAAGTCTCTTTGGTACCAGTAAACCTGGGAGAACTTAGTTACTTTTAAGAAAAATTAGGGACAGTTTTCACTTGCATAATAGTAGTAGGCACATAASTCTCAGGACAGAGTGGATCCATGAGGTCAGGTAACCTGTGGTGCTACTGCCAGAAATACACTGATCTCTGATACCATAGAATAGTTTAGCTTGGAAAACACCTCTGTGACAGTCAAGTCCAACCATTAACCCAGCACTGCCARGTCTCCACTAAACCATGTCCTTAAGTGCCACATCTCCCTGTCTTGTACATGTCTCAGATGTTCTATGATAACATTTACAGATGCAGAGCAATTAACAGTGAAAGCTCTAGGTGTTGTCACCTCTGGCCTTAGCCRTCATTCTATGAGCCACCTTTATTGCACAGTGTGAGGGCACATGAGTCACATGAGTCACTTGAGACAGTTGCATCTGTCAGTCCTAAAAGGGACAGAACAAGTGGCTTATAGGATCGTAGCAGTACRGACATGCTGGGACCAGGGATATCAAGTTATTTTTTCCTGTTTCATTCATGGCAGTTGAGTRATGGAGTGCAGGTCATCCTAAGCAAGATCTGGAATTTGTTTACCCAATGCCTATGAAGGCCATGATTCATCTTGCAAATGTGCAAGTGAAGAGYGGGTGTTTGGCCAGCTGGCATTCAAAGACTTGGTGGCCTGTGGTAATTTGAGTGGCTGCTTAGATTGCGTCTGTGGGCTTTTGTCTGCTCAGGGATTTTTAATAAAGTTTTTCTGGTGGAGTGGTTTGGGGCCAGTTTAGGGGAGGCAGATGAGARCAGGGCCTGGCAGAAGTCAGTGCTGCTGCAAGAACTGTCAGCTCCCAATAAAACTTCTGAATGAAATTCATTAACAGCAGYAGTGAGGGATTGCATCTGTTCCTCCCTTACCAGAAGGAAAAAATAATCAAAATCTCTACAGAATCCCAGAGGAACACCTTGCATGGAGGAAAGTTGGAAAAAGTTGCAAGTTCAGCTGTCTTCTCTCTCAGACTTTTGAGAATCAGTTGGTATCATATGCACTTGGTATTATCTTCCAAACCTACTGAAAGATTGTTAAAAACTGTTGTACCTTCTGACATATTGTGGTTCTGCATTTCACACCTTGCTTACRAAGGTATTAGATCACTTGATGTGTCCATAGAGGATAGGAAAATCTGWCAGGAGCAACTTCTTTAACTCCCTTGTCATCATCAGCTAAAGAGTCACGTAGATRTTACTGTAGTTCTCTCATTCAAGATCCGTGTGCAGAATTTTATGGCTGTATCATCTCTTTATGTTAATTAAAGTCTTTTTATTTACAGATTTCCTGATGCTGAAACGGCATCTGCTATAGCAGAGCTTGGATGTAAGCACATTTGCAAAAATGTAAATGAATCCCATGTGGATAAAGCCAATAAAATAGTTACTACCTGTGCTTTCATGTGCAAGGCTCCTCTGCATGAAATCTTTGATGGAATTGGAACAATGGTACAAGAAGTCCTGAAACTTGCTTGACTAGAAGCATACAGACTTCTGCAAGGAAATCAGTGTAGCTAAGCATAAATATTTAGCCTCCTTTGATTGAATTAATAAAATAATRCAACTGCTAAACTTCACTGTTCCTGGTTTGTTTGGTGTGGCAGTTTTTTAAATGTTTTATACATCAAGGGGTTACTTCTGAGTGTAACCTATTTATTTCTTTTTAAAAATAGAAACTGTATGTTGAAGGTGATAGGAAGGTTTCCTTTTTTCCCCCTTATGAATCCAAATGTATTCAGTTTTAAAAAGAGTGAATGGGCAATGGGGTTTTATCACATCACTGATGGTTATCAGTAATTCACATTTGCTGTTACCCAGCTGCAAGTGCAGGTAAAATAGTTGTAAATGATTCTGTTTACCTTCAGTACAGGTGAGTAATTCAATTCTAATCAGAAGGATAAATAATGAATGAATATGGTTATTTAAGGTTTTTGTCCCTTGCAAGTCTTTAAGCAAGTATTACTAATGGACTTGCGAAATTYTTGCAGAGCCCATAAGTAAACAAACTTTATAAACCAAGATCCAGCACAAATGAATTCATTGCACGTGGAAAATACACAAGTTTTGCTCTAATGAAGTAATTTCAGATTTATTTAGTAAAATGAATTAGCTTTATTTTGTAATTTCTTTTTGCATACATCGTTTAGTGCCCTGAGGAAGATACGTTTTATGTTAAAGCACATGCTTTCATCTTACAAATGTGAATAAAGGGTTGGCAGTTTCTCTTAGGAGCTCAGTCTGGCAAGGCTTTGTACTCCTTCAGGAACAAAAAATTCTCAGAATTCATTATCCTGGTTCACTGTGGACACTGATTTGCCTCACTTAAGAAGTGCTCTGGTGCTCACAGGTCCCCGTCACTCCTGCCTGCCCATGTACTGTAACCCACGCTCTGCTGGCCCTGAAGTAACCTGAACTGGCATCAGCTGCTCAGAGTCCCATGTAACTGGGGTGGGAATAAAAGAGGAACACACCTGTAGCTCAGAGGAGCCAAAGGAAGGATGTGAAGAATAATGTCCTTATGACGAGGAGTGTGGAGCAGTCCCTGTTGCTCGGTGCTGGTGTGATCAGGCCGAGCCCATACCTTTGCCTTCTCAGCACAAGAGCAGTCACCACAGTGACGCCTGACGTGCTTCAGAGTATCGAGTGCTACCACTCCCTGCGTGTGCTGTGTTTATTTTAGCTCAAATGTCAACGCTCAGACGTAACAGGTGCTCTCTTCAAGGAGGTTGTAGAGATAAAATATACAGAAAGAAACATATAAAGGCTTTTGTTCTCTGTGCTTCTAACAGTGATGATTTTCATGAACACAGCACTTCCATTCTCCTCCAGAATTTGGACTTCCTGTATGGAGTTATTTAGGAGAAGCAGATTTTTGGCAGAAGAATAGGGAGATTTTTGTGCCGTGTGCAAGCAGTGAATGCTCTGCCTCTAGAGGTACAAAGATAGCTGAAGTCGGCTGTGTCAGCAGAGGATCTTTTGTTCAGCCTGGGCATATAATCACTAAATTATTTACTTGGTGAAAACCCACAATACTGGACTGAATATGCTTCTTGTATTACAGGATTCATATTTAAAAGTGCTTGAGTTACTAAGAGTTTGTGCAGAATTTTGCATTGGGTTTGTGAAGAGCATGTTGGCCGGAGCATTCAAAGGAAGCACAGCTTCCCTGGAAGTGCTCTAGCTGACTGTCCTGATAGAAATGTGCTTAACACAGAACAGTCCTCCACTTTTTCCAGGTTGTACACAGTGTCTATAATGCATTCTGTGGCTTCTGCGGGCAGGATACTGAGAGCATTGGATTGAAACTTTTTCACCAAGTCCTCCTTTTTCAGGGGTTTCCTCCAGTGCCCGTAGAAGGTATTGCAGCGGTCGCTGATCATGTTGCCATCCCGAAGTGTKACACTCACTTCACAGTAAAGACTGTCAAAGCTGGGGGTGTTGTCAGGAGGGTGCTCCAGCTGTGTTTTGCAGAGGAGCTCCCATAAAGCCGGCCTGTGGACATTCTGACTGCTGAAGGACTCGACTGACATGCTGCCATCCAGCAAAGCAGAGCATGCAACAAACTGGAAGGAGTGTCGTGCTTCGTGCTCTGAGGCTGGGCTGGGTCTGTTCACATATTTGACCTCAGGAACTTTCAGAGTGACTTTCTCAATTTTATCAAGGGGGAGCAAGTTCTCACTGCTCTCCACAAGCTTCCTCCTAACAGAAGATGCTGCATCAGCCACCCAGTGCGTCGCAAGATGAGCAGGAAAGCGTTTAATGGCCACATCTTGTTGGTCCAAGAGCCAGGGGTAGGACTGCAAGGTTGGCAGAGTCTGTGGGCTGTAATCTGTATAAAAGGCCCCCATCCCTGAATCCATGTCCAAGATCTGTTTGTTTCCTTGAAGGCCCTGTAAAGCCAAGCAAGCTGCTTCCAGTCCGTGCTTCGCAGCATTCCCTACGTGGAGGGGCTTTATTTGGGTTGCTGCATTAGCCAGTGGGGCACCTGCATAGGAGGCAGCAATAGCCAAGGCATTTTTACATTCCAGCTGGTCAAGAGCTAGCAGTTTAGCACAAGCTGCTGCACTCCCYATTGTGCCAACCACAGCCGGTGGGTGAAACCTGACAAAACAAAAATATCTTCATTACCACATTTCAAAAACTCACCTGAATTCACTATATACACAAGTTTTTCATTCACTGCCATGGAAAACAGATCGGACCATACAGAAACATACATTCAGCATTCACAWGTGGGCCTTGCTGAGAGCTGTCACTTTTCCTCAAGAAAAAGTTAAATTGGAATAGTACTGTTTGCAGTAGATCTTCCCCAGAAACAAATTGAAACATTAGAGCTGCTCATAGTTCAAAGCAAATTAATAGTCACCTACAAAGTTACATTTATTATTACTATTTATATATTATTATAAATTTATAAAAATGCACACTAGGGAGATCATTGCCTTCTTTCTGTGAATTTGTCAATGGTTTCAAAAAGAAATCTATTAGCTAAAGAGTTAGGAGCCAAATAAGTGTATTTATGTTTAAGATAGACCTTCCCTAAATTTCCCTGACAAACAGCATAGGAAATATGAATAACTGTGCCATCTGTATTTTAACTGATATTTAATTAAGTATATTAACACTGATTAAAAAACAATTCCACTCAACTTTCTACTTGAAACATTTCTTTGTACCTTYTTGGAATATTCCTGGCTTCTCTGGAGAAGTGCAGCAACCTGCCTTGCACTTCAATTCCCACATTGAAAGCTAAGAGCAGATCAAGACCCGAGATTTTTTTCTTCTGAGGAAAGGCCTCTGCAAGTGCAATCAATGCAGGGAGCACGGCCCCGGATGGGTGTGTGGCTGGATGCCAGGTGTCGTCAAAGTCCATTGAGTGCACCTAATGGAAAGGAAAGCATTGATTTGTTGTTAGAAATAAACTCTGACTTGGCAAGGTTGCTTCAGTCCAATGAAAATACTGTAACTAGTATAAAAAAGTACCAAATAACTTTTTCCTTAGAAATCAAAAATTTCAAGTCTTTTAAAGACCTTTACTCCCAACAGAGCTCTCTGGGAAGTGGCAATGCAGCCGAGATCTTGCCTTAAAAGAGTGTAATTGTAATTCAAGTTGTACCAGCCTGAAAACAGTGTGACAGATTCATTTTTTCTGCAATTGGCTTTTGCTGCTTTGATTAGGCTGATATAATTAAAGCAGCTGTTCTAGGTCCACCATGTGAACAGTGAATTTTCACTTTCCCTGAAACATAATGAAATATAAACATAATGWAATATAAACATAATKAAATTATTTCCCCAGCGCTGCAACTGATGCTGCCATTAGGACTCGCACCATAAAACTGTAGCAGTAAAATACTGCTAAATGAAATTTATATCATCAAAACTACTTCTCTGGTGCAACCATCCACAGGCAACAGGCAYAAGTCTGCAAACGTACAGGAGGTTTTAGCCTGAATTTTCAGCACACAAGAACACAAGGAACCAGACTCCCTGGAGCTGCTGGGAGTAGGTGAAAGCTACAGTCTTAATGCGGATGAACTGCTTGTCTCAAGACAGTATCCCAAGTGCTGCTTTCTCTTTCCCATGGCCAGAGCCCAGATGCTCAGGAAGATTTTGGGTGTTTCCAGCATGGCATATGGCTGCTAATTTGGTAGCAGATGGTTCCCAACAGTGCAGTGAGTGTCCGTAATGTGCTGCTTATCAGACACATTCCTTCCCCCCGCAAAATTTTGAGAACCCCCAAGGACCTGAGAGTATCAGGGACAGCATTTTTTACATAGCGTAGTAATGTAAATTACTCAAAATTACCTCAAAAACTGAGCTTTCACGTCTGTTCACCTGTGTCTTACTTCAAAGCAAAGTGGGAAGCTGGTCAGGCTCCCCAGTGGTCAGATTTTGCCCTGTGATACTGTTAATATGCATTTTTGAGGTCTGTTTCAAGTCTCTAGCTTGAAAAAATTTTGATGTCATCTGGGAAGATGCCCTGCAGCGCAGGATAAGGAAAGTTATGACCAATATCCTGTAAGCTGTGTTTCTGGTGTCTTCAGTAAGTGCTTAAAATTGACCTGTGACCAAGAGGTAAACTGAAATGATCATATATATGCTAACAGCCAGATCTGAATATCACAAGGGCTGCTAGGAGCTGAGAGGTACCAGATCTCATTTCCAAGATAATTTTCTCTGCACTGGAAATGAGCTGTTAAATTGGACCTCCGATATTGTTGTCACACTAATTTAAATAGGCTTAATATTACTATTTCCTTGGTYGGTCACCTTCTCTAGTTTTGCATAATTGCCAAATTTGTCTATCCCACCTCTTGCGCATCTTTCAATTTCAAATTATTTCAGCCTCGATCTGAATTTAGACAAATGTCTGAGGAGTCARTTATTGCTTTAATGACAAAGTGTGTGTTGAAAATACATAACATGCTTTTGAAAACTGCATAACTGAAGATTAAATTGCCTTGTGATATTATATGTCTATGTGTCTATGTGTGCATCTGTCTGTGTTGTTCTGTGTTGTTCTTTGCTAGTTGCCATGAAATTTGGATCCCAGTGAGCCACATCTAGAGACTGTCATTTTCAGTGGCTACAGCAAGGCAGCAACCTTGCTACAAGGATACCAGGTTGTGAACTGCAGTGTTCTGACCTTTTACTACAGCCCCAGATCCCACGTTGAAGCTAAGGGATGCTGTCAAGTTGGATCCTAAGGTCAAGTTGACCCTAAGGTCAGTCTCACTGGAAGGAAGTTGAAGCACATTAGGAGAATACTCTAGGAAAATTTTGTAGCAGACTTCACAATAAGCTAAGATTTTTGGAACATTCTGTTCTCTATAGAGCAAGAATGGCATCAATTTGTATGATTTAAGAGCAAACAAAAGAGCATCCCTTACAGCCACTCCATTCACAAAAGCTGCATACAGAGGAGGCAGTCGGAAATCCAAGTGGCCCCAGATGGTACTGGATAAATCTGAGCTGTAGATCTGAAACAAATTGACATCAGTTAATTCAAAGTCCTGAACCCAAGGATAAATGTAACTCTCTGATGTAACTGAGAGCAGACCATGCCCTCTGGGGACCTAACTGCTCTCTTTTATGAGCAAAATATTGTTCTTTCAGAAAGTACGAAAAGAAACTCAGTATCCTGTTGCCTTATGTCCTATTCCACCCAAACASAGCTCAGGGCAGATCAACACCATCCACCTGGAGCCTCAGTAGCTTCACAAACCTCTGGCCACTRACATCCCTTCTCACCACCCATCAACAACTCCCTCAGAATCACAGAATCAWCWGGGTTGGAAAAAACCTCTGGAATCATCAAGTCTGACCTAAATGATGATGAGACCAYCATCATCTTTTTGGGGAGATGTCTGGCTAAAGAGTTCAATTTTCTGTGTTTTAGTAAGACCCTGAATAAATGATAGATGGCCTCCTGGTGCTGTGAATTGAATAAAAGGGCATAAACTACCGTGGTTTGGAAAGGAGAATTCTCTTTGGGAAGAAATAATTGGCACACAGAGCTCTGGAGCATAAGTCCACCTAGGCAGGTCTGAATAAAAAAAAACAGTGGGCTAAACTCTCCTCATTGATGCACTCATGTGTTGGGAAAGATTCTTTTCAGGGTCAATTACTCTGCCAGTGTGAGGAGACTAGAGGAGAAGCATGGCTAATGTACCTCAGACAATAATTATGTTTTATGGACTGCAAGTAACCCACTGCTAACTCCCCATCACATTAACAGTTCCTTAATTAGAAAGGTTGGTGATAAGTGATGTCTACTTTGTTGATGTTTTTAATACAATATCATAGGTGAAAGAAAGGAAAGGGTTCTTGGTTAACTGTGTTTGTAGAGGGGGATCTTAGCATGCAGACTGATGCACAGACTTTTGGCCATCCATTGGGAAAAGTAATTTGAGCACTGAAGTTTCCCTGTCTCAGTGGGAAGAACACCATTTCTCTCTTTGCATCCACAAAAGAATTTCACCATGGCAAAATTTCCTTTTTATAGGGCAGGTTTTCCCTTGTTGTCTTATAGCTAAACTTTAGGGTGTGCTGTGAATGCCAGACTCTTACCTTGCTGTACTGTGCCACTTTGTGGCAGACCTCGGTGCTGGTACCCAGAAGCCCCACTCCAAGAGTATCCAGAATCATTCGCTTACTTCTCTGAATTACTTGATCTGTCAACTGATTTGCATTCAAACCATGAATCACCTTGGCAAAATTTCCTGTAATTGTCTGGGAAGGGAAAAAAAGAGAAGAAGTAGATATTTCTCTATACTTAAATTAAACACCCTTTTAAATTTTCTTTCCTCTTTTTATTTTTTTCTTTTCTTATTTTTTTTTCTTTCAGTTTCGGGCTACTGCCTCGCATGCTGGCCATTTCTATTGCCCTGCCCCTGTTTACATGAATTGCATCACCGACACCAAGGTTTGAATTCTTCCTCTTTCTGTTCCCAGAAATGTCACTGTGTTATTTATATTTTATTTATGCTTTCATCATTATCCTTTTCTGTCCTGTATTTCTTCTGCTTTCTCCCCGAGTCCTTGAGAGTATGCACTGCAGGTGCTGCAACTRTGGAAGATTATCTCTGTCATCTCTRGCTCTATCTCATCTCAATCTCTATCTCTAATGACTATTCGCACACACATACACAAAACAAATAGAAATAAAAACATCTGTCTCTCCATAGCACCTGCTTATTGGTATTGAAATCAGTGGGAGAGCAGCATTTCAAGCCAGTGCACCCACTACCACACAAGAAGGCAAGATTTAATCTCCCTGATTAGCAGCATTACTATCCCAAATCTTGCTGAGCTCGGAGCTCAGTGGGAGGCAGGAGCTGGCAGCCCTACCTTGCACATGTTGCTCATAGCTCCCAGCTCCCACTGAATTCACTTTCAGCTGGACTCACAGCTTTTCTCCAAGACAAGATCTTGCCTCTTTGAAAAGCAGTGGCTCCTTGTTCCTGGATCCTGCTGATATGGGAATTATATATATTTATTTTCCTCTCCTATTGAGCAATGACCCGTTATGCAAATTCAACCTGCTTCTTGGCTGGAGTTGTGAGCTGCTSTTAGTATCTCTATTAGAAAATAATCTAAAACTTCCCTTCCTGGACCATTAGAAATGTCCTGCTGCAGAGTACACATTATTTACAACCAGTCTATACACACAGTTTCATTTTAATATAGGCAGTAATGCATATATATCTCCTCTCTCTTTCTTTGGAAATTATCTCCTTTCATGTATCCTCTTCCTGCACATATCCACATRGAGTGGTGATGTTTCCTTTTGACCTTCCTTTTGCTGAGTTAAACAAATCAAACTGTGCTATTCTGTCCTTTACAATACAGGCTCACCTCTACTGTGCTCCTATATTTTCATTGCATTGTTCACACTGGATTCCTCTTTCTCTAGCAATGGTGACCAGAACTGTACCCATCATTACAAACAAGYTCTCACTCACACTTGTACTAAAGCATTATCTGGAGGAAGCAGTTACAAGCAGTTTGAAGCAGGTGAACCATGTAAAGCAGGGCCACATGGTGCGATGGGTTCTAACTGAAATACATGGAGTAAGGATATGAAAGTGCAGACAATTGCATCTTACAGTGCAAAGAAACAAAGACAGTACCTTTGTCCACATCTTGCAGGGSTGTTGCAAGGTCCCAGAGAGATGCAGCAAATGAGTGGTGGCCAGTGAGCAGGGGAACTCACTCTCTCACTATTTATATGTGTCTGTCTGGGGAGGGGGAAGGAATTGTAGGCCTTTTTACTTGTGCATCTTGTCCTGCCCATTTCCTCTTTTGCCTGTAAATTTTCTTTTTTGCTTCACTTTCAACTTTCCTCTGACTAATTGTGCTATAAATACATGTGATAGGACTTAGCCAGTCATGTTTACATGTTGTATAAATTAATGTATGCAATACTTCATTACCAGATAGAAATGGGTTCAAGSGTATCACAACTGGTAGAATAGAGAGGTGTGTGAAACCACAGTGATCCATGGTTGGGAAAGTCCAGCGCTAGACTACAGGATGGCAAAGGCTGTTTTAGCTTAAAAAACCAGTTGTTAATATGGTTTGGGATTGTTTTTTATTTTTGCTGTGTCTCCTCTCCAACACATACAAATCAGACATGGGAAATGCATGCCATAAGAATTTGAGGCCATAAATTGGATTAAGGCAATTCTTGGCACTTAGCAGTGTTTCAACAGCATGAATCGCTGTGTGTTAGCGAGAGATAGTGAGTGAGGAATCCCTGCCCATCACATCAGGAAGAAAGCAGACCCCACAGGAGTATGAATAGGGGTCACTGAATAATTCTGAAGTAAATAAATAATGATGTCTGAAGTATGGGAATCAACTGGATCAGGGAACAAAGCCTTGCACATCCATACTTAAATGCTATCTAAAACTTAATCTAGGAACCTCAGCCCGTTACTCAGAATAGCTTCAAATAATTTTGTAAAGCCTTATCTAACTCCTGAGTGCCTCTAGTTAGAGAACAGCATAGGTCTAGAAGTGAARCCAAACATTGATTTGAGTGATTCCAACCACTACTGAAAGGTCCTGTTTCAGGCTGTGTCATTCCCCTTCTCCTCTCCCCAGATACATTGTACTCCACCTCCTTGGGCCAGCCCTAAAGCCATGCAGACCCGTTCCTGAGCTGGTCCAGCCCATCTCCAGAGCTACCTCAGTGATTCTCAGGAGTCAGCCATAACTGAGTTTCATTCCCTCGGAAATGCAAAATTAAATCTCGCAGCACAAACAGAGAGAGAGAGGAGTAGGGCTAGCAGTATGCTGTGAAATTTTGGGAAGGCAGGGACTGGTAATAAGAGAGAAGAGGGGATCAGCGGTTCCCAGCAAGCTCTAACCCAGACATTTGCCTATTTAGCCCATGCTTTTTGTGAGTTCTGCTTTTGGATGTCACCTTCTGGTGATTAAYTTGATGCTGAACATTGCACTGGGTAACAAAGAGCCTTAAATTATAGAAGCAGTGATGAGTCAGTTCATGGATATAGCCAAAGAGCCCGAGGCCCAGGACTCCTGAACCCCAGCCCTACAAACATACACATAATTTTGTACAGACTAACCTGCACTATGTGCAGGCTCCATTAAATTCTTGTCCTACCTTTCTTTTAAATATGAGCACATATGAATATGCCATGATTTCCTCACTCATGCAGGCATAACTTGCATCTACATAAAACATGCCAGCACATTTCCTAGCTCCTGGGTGATGTGTGCTTTGGCCAAATCCTGACCCCACAGGGAGAGAGACGCAGAATGTGCATCAGAGCTTCTTCCTTGCCCCCTGTATTTCCCACACTGAGGGAAACATCAGAGATATCCTGGATGTACTGAAGAATTACCTTTGGTGCTGTTAAAATCCACCCACATAATGAGATTGCTTACACTGACAAGGTTGGCAGTGGTTGGAAATGAAAATAGGAGTTAATGAGATTGGGCTAAAAAAATTGAAAGATTTTGTTAACTTTCACTATTGTTTTTTCAGCTCATTCTTCTCTTTAGAAAATTGGAAGAAAATATTTAAACTTCAGAACCATGGAGACACAGTCGGAAGGGACCCCCAGAGACCATCCTGTCCAACCTCTAACAAGGCCACTCAGAGCAGGCTGTGTCCAGTTAAGTTCTGAATATCTCTGAGGACAGACACTCCACAGCCTCCCTGGGCAACCAAAAAAAAATTACATATTAAATAAAAGATATCCAAACCCTAAAGTCCATCCTCTTTTTTCCATTACCTTTGGGATTTAATTTATGACCTCATTCTGTTTCTCATTTCTTTTGCCTCCTCGAGTGAGATAGAGGTCCTGCTGCCTTAATCCTGTGATGGGACTCCAAAGTGATTTTGGGTGGGASCTAGAACTTGTGATGTGCCTTGCAATGTGATGTGCAGTCACATGCTGYTAGCTGATCTCAGATCCGTGGCCACTGCTTTCTGTAACCTTCACTGAACAATGGACTGTCCCATGCATTRCAATCATAACACCTGTACTATTTAAGGGCTGAACTAAGATATTACGAGAAAGTGAATTTTTGTTWAAAAAAGAACAAAGGAAAACTGTAAATTTGCTTGGAAGACCGATTTCCAAACCATGGTCTGCAGACCTCAGACTCAGGTGTACACTGCAGAGTGTGAGGGAAAAGAAAGATAATTATCACTGCAGGGCGAAGAGGCATCTAAACAAAGTCCTGACGCTCCACAGCAGAATTCCTAGGGGTCTAGACAGAAGAAGGTTGAAAATCAGTGACTGAGAGTTTGGTACAAGCTGTCCACCCTGACAAAGGGAATCTGCTGCTTTCCTCTCCTTTGACACAATATSCATGGTTCAGCAATTTGGGCAGACAATTTGTTAACGAGCGAGCATGGTGGAAAGACCAAATGTGTTCTTCCAAATGCCATTTGCAGCGTCGCACGCAGCCACAGTAATGAGCTGTGTTGATTACAGAGCCAGGCTTTAGAAAACCAGTGCCCCACAGAGCCTATTTTCTCCTGCTGACATCACATTTTTAAGCCACTTTTTCCCTTCTATTGCCTCCAGTTATTTTAGGCTAAACTCTGCCCACACCTGCAAGCTGTATGCAACTGAAAGCAATTCTGGCCCTAGACTTAGGCTCTTTTGTACTAAAGAAATATTWAAAAAATATGACAAAATATGGAGTCCAGGCTTCCTTTTGTCTGAGCCAGCTTTTAAGAAGTAGCTTTGTTCATGGCCTGTGCTTAGATGAGAAAATGGGAGACAGGTGCCAATGTGCTGTGTTTACAGAGACTCTGCTGTTGCTGAGAGTCTGAAAACAACTTGCAAGTGCAGGATCTGCTCGTTTTCCCTCTACTGGGATGTTTTAATTACAGTAAAAAGGTGAGAATCCTTGAGAATTGTCTGGAATAGMTGGCTTGGTCTAAAACATGTGACCAGCCCTACAGCCATAACTCTTGGGATCCTGTGATTTTCTATCTCCTATTATTATGATTTTTGTGCCTCTTTCCTCAAGCCTGTCTTCCTATGTTTACCCCAACAGTGGGTACTGAGCCAGACAGCAATTACACACAGCAAATGCAATAGGCAGAGATTGCACCATGAAATGTATCATCCTGGAAACTTCTAGCCCAAAGTAGTTCTCTTATTCACTAACTTGCACAACTAATGGCAGTTTGGCAGTGAAATCTCTGAGAAATTTTTATCACTCTTGTTTCCTTTTTTTTTTTCTAAGTTCCCATAGCGAATCTTGGAAGTGCCCAGCCATATTCTGGTAAAGGTTGCTAGGAGTCAATGCTCGAGTCAATGCACYGCATTACATTGCCTTTCTTGCTTCCCTGAATTAGCAGTGCTACTSCTAAAGGCAAGGCCTCAAGGTTGATTTTAACTTGTGGTGTAGATGCTGGTTTGCTTAAATGAACTGCAAGATAGAGGCACTAGGCATACCTGGAATATTCCCTTAGGATCACATTCTAGACAGCATTCGACATCATTTATGGAGTAGGTGAAGAGTCCTGGTCTATAACGGTGTGAGGAGGCACTGCAGATCCACGAAATTCCCATGGACCCAGTGTGAATTTTAGCTCTCACCAACACTACAACCTTTACCTGTTTTACTGGTGTCAGCAATCAGTTTCACCCTGTCTTCTGCAGCATATTCAGGCTCTGTTGCAACACTGTGAATCACATGCAATTCCCTGGTGGAAGGACCAAGGAATGAGTCTGGGAGCGCTTTGGGGGATACCTTTGATGGTTTATGACACCTTCTAAGATATGACAGCTGCATCTCATGTAACTGAGGCAGTTATGCCCCATCAGAAGGGATGAAAACCTTCAGGCCCAGGGTGAGGGGAGTTTTACACCTGAGCAGAAGTGTAAGGGAGGACAATTGGCTTCGATTGCACCATCCCACCTCTGCAGGGCCTGCTTCTTATTGGCCTTCGGCCTTATCTGCTCAAACCCCAGAGCCTCTGGTGATGGGTGTTCACTCCCTGTCTTACTCAGATCAGAAGTTTTGCCACCACACATCCAAAAACTAATTTCCTCCCCTCGCTATGTGCAAACCCTGCCCCAGCAAAGCCCCCCACCGCCTCTGCAAATGGCCAAATGTTYGAGCCATCAACTATTAACATCTCAGTCTCTCCCAATGACCTCCAGCATGAATAATCGCAGTGGGTGCGGGAGATCATGCAGGTTTTGTGTACCTACAGAGTGTTTGCCTTAACTACTTCTTGTTTTTGGTTTCGGCAGCCTGCAGCACACATTGCTCTCTTAATCAAAGAGCAGCCCGTGATGTCTGTATTRCAWGGCCAAAATGCAGCCAGATRTCATTACACAACTTGTGCTATTTGRGGAGATGATAAAACTTGAGTAGCATAAATTCAGAGTTTGATAAGCAGAAACCAAAATAGTGAGAGCACAAGTGAAGGACGTGGCAATTTTAATTAAATTACCAGCGGAACTCTGGTGGTACAAGCAAGGCATTACCCACTGAGCTGGGCTGTGCAGCATGCTCAGAAAGGTGCCCAGCAAATTGGGGCTCCTGATCACTTTGGAGCAAGGCCAGATGTCAGGACATGATGGRTCCCAGCAAGGTGCAGTGGTGCTCYAGTGCGRTGATATGGTGTCAAGATTGAGTGTACAACAAGCTTAACCATTAATTAAGGGATAAAAGAGCCTCTCTGCA